AAAAATGGCACCTGGCACTGCAGTAATGCCGCGGAAAAAGGCTGACACCTGGCAGGATGAGTTCACTACAGGGCGGCTTCAGTACAGCGGACAACGCACACACTGAAAAACCGTCTCCATCGTCTCCTGCACAGAATACAAGAAGGGACTGGAAATGACCTGTATAAATTATACAAGTACATTTCAGTATATACTACTACATTATATACTAGTTTCATCAGGTTATGTACATTATAACGTCCTGTAATCCTTTTCCTGATGAAACTCTGAACCGCACATAACCGCACAACATACTGCATATTTATTCCAGAATCCGGATAAAGATACTCGATGAGTTATGCGTCTCAATGCCGACATGGAAGATTTCACACCTGGCCCAGTAGGATCACAGTCCACCAGATCGCGGCACTTTCGTTGCTGTTGGCCTTAACCGACGATGCACAGGGTGTCAACAGAGATGGGAAGCAGCCTGCTAAATGCATCCAAAATGCGGTTTCGTTGATGAAGACAGCCATTAGAAGATCAATGCAGACTGCTAGCAAGGGAAAGATGATCATCAGCCTGACCGCTGCAAGATGCTTCAAATCTGCAAAACAAATTGCCGAATTACCTAAGCCTAGGATGGACCCAGGCTTCCTGTTGTGCCAACCCAAGATGTCTGGAAGAACCCGCCTGCGCACATAGAACTGATTCCAATTGCCTTCGTCCACCAGCTTCTTCCCGACACCTGGGTGATGTAAGCAAGGGGGTCAACAACCCTTTGAGAAAGTCAAAGATCAAAATGTTCAAAAGCCGCAATGGCCTTGGGCAAATTTATCTATTTTGTCGCTGGGGATGATTCTATGTTCAAGGCTAGCCTTCTAGATTCTTAGTGGGGTGAATTGCGCAATAGCTTACTGTTCTGATTTTGAAGGAGTGGTTTGTGTTTGCTGTTATGTGTTTCATCATTTACTGTAAGCAGGGCAATCTTTAAATAAGACAAGTCTTAGTCCAAAATTGTATTGTTTGGAATGATGCTTGGGATTTGTTTAATACGTTTGGCTCTGATAGATGTTCACTGTCCCCACCCGATCTTGCTGAGGCACCAAAGGCCAAAACTCCCGAGAGCACCCCAGCACCTGAAGGTGCCAAGCCCAAACAGAGCTTCAGCGACACCAAAAACCATTCCGTAATGTTTCTGTACTGCTGGGAATATCCAAATAGGAATTTGATGTACGGAGCTTCATCCTCACAAAATTGCCCACTGTTTTTGAAGTTCCAGGCGTTCTGGTCCAATTCGGCCAGAAAGTCGTACTCTGCGGAAGCTCACTTGTGAATGCTTCAAGGCTTCAAGAGCGAATCTGTGTCCAAGTTGCTTAGAAAGAAACCAGAGGCTGTTGCCCCTTGATTCAAAGACAGGGTGAAGTCCAGGGAGATTGGAACAGTCATGGACCTTGGTTCAAGCGATGTCCTAACACACCGAAAACACTTCTGGCAAACATCGAAACCGCTATGATTCTAGGAGCATTGATGACCTGTTTTTTTTTCCACCTATCATATACAGTATCTATTGTATCATAGTTTCATCATATTTAATCCAATTCAACTTATTTAACATCTACATACAGTTACATTTACCAAACGGAGGTACACGATCTCGAAAGTAGCTCTTGCCAAGGCACAAAGCAACAAACATCACCATCCAGTTCCTTCGTGGCACAGGCATTTCAGCTGGCTATAGCGGCTATGGTTTTTCTACAGCTTTGTACACGTTCTCAGTCCAAAATGACTAGCCAAAATGAACAAGAGCTGAGTTGTTGCTAAGAAACCAGAGGCCAACAGGATCCAGAAAGTACTTGTATCTTCCGGGAGATATTGGCATTATTTGGCATTGCAAGTTGAGTCCAGCAGTTCCAGGGCTGTTCTCAATGTGGTTTCCCACAGTTTCTATACCCGTGATCCAAGCGTCCAAAGGCACATGATTTGACAGCCAACTTGTTTGACCTCTTCACATCGCGCCAAGATTGGTCTCATACCTTGTGACCTGATCCCGCTTGGGAGCTGCCGCAAGATTTGGATAGATTTGGCATGTGGGCGTTTGCTATTCTCTCCAAACAACTGGTCAACGGAAAACAAGAAAGCACAACTCTCATCTTTCAGTGAATCATAAATACACCTAGACCGTCCCGTCGCAGCGATTTATTTTTGACATGTTTTGACGTCATCCTATCCTGGGCATAGAGCAATACCGCTGCATGGAAATTCCGATCTGAAATCGGTACCCAAGCGCGAACCTTGACAAAGAAGCCACATTGCAGACAAGGGGCACAAGATATTCATGTATGAAGACTACAGCAAAGATGACAGCCAGCACAACAAACATAGCTGCTGGGAAGTGCACCACCCTGCGCACAATGCTTTGCAGCCAAGACTTGGAGGTGCGTCCCCCACACTTCCAAAAGAAACCTGGTGTCATATGATTATCATTCAAATTCAGTTGTTTCTGTGGCTGCCTGCACCTCCTATGTCTTGTCTGTCTTGTCTTTTTCGTTGTCGCTTGTTTGCATAGGTCCCTTCAAATTTCATTCAACGGGGACTATGATGGGATTATGGGCTGTGCCGGTATTTAGTCACAATGTGCTGTCCAGCTAGCAGAAAGGGTACACAAACCAAATCCAACTTGATGCCCCGAAGAAAATTGAAACTCTTTTTGCTTGTCAATAATCTTGCCACATGACATGGACCTCTGTTTACTAGGTTATCCTCAGAACCCAAACAAGCTGCAAAACTACAGTCCTACAGTGAGCTGTTGCCCACTCTGTTACCCACTTTGTTACTCATGTCCTCTGCGCACCTCGACCCAAAACTGTCTTGGTCAATATTCTCAGTGGATGGACCCCTCTCGACCAGCTCCACACTTGGGACATCAATGACAAGCCTGTCAAATCTGTCAATGTGCATCTGGCAACTGAAGGAAACTGGGAAAAGCTTTGCCAACGTTTGGTTGAAACAGGTCCTACGGTCCTACGCAGACTCTGTCGATCAATGTTGATCAAATAGACAGGAAGTAATTATTCATTCCTGGAGCTTTGCAGCAAACACGGAGGTTAGGTTTGCCTTGTTGCAACAAAGATACGCAAACACAATGATACGTGTACAGCAACTCAGGAAAAAGTGTCATCAATTGCAAAGGTCTCATACGTGCTGATTGTTGACTTCTTGGATTCTGTTTACACAACAGTAGCTCGAAATTCAAGAACCACGGACCCAATCACTTCTTGTTCGTGTTTCTCTTTATCGGGGGTTGCTGACAGAAGACCTTAATCGACACCATACTCAAGCAAAACATTGAGCACGACCCGCTCCACTGCAGTCAAGTTACGAGGCTATATCAGCTAAGTCTTCATTCTTTTGAATGCGGGGTGTTGGAACTAGTTGCTCCGAAAGCTGCAAACTCTGCTGCAGGAAGCCTCGCGGCATGACGAGAGCCGGACTGCAACTTGCTTCTGTGCTGTGTGTCAGCTTCTGTGAGTATAGGCAGCATGGGCAGTAGAATGCAGTATAGGTATGGAATATTATGGATGGGTCAAATGATGTACCATGTATTCAAATATATTCAAATATATTCAAACATATTCAAATGTGGCAGAATGTTGCAGAATGTTGCATTCTGCAAGAGTTGATGCAGTTGATGCATAGTGAATCATAGTGACATGACCTGAATTCGGAGAAAAAAATGGACATCTGGGTCCCTCCGGTGATGCCCCTTGGTGCTACCAAGGTGCTGCTGCCCCACCTGCCATGGCAGATTGGGGTGAGCCCCGATGGAGAATACTGACTACCGCCGGTACTACATCAGCGGTGACGGTGTTTTTTTCAAACCCCAAGCCTCAAAGTTCCAATATTTTCTCAAAGTTTGCTGTATCCGAAAGCTTAGAGATCTTGAGATCTTGAAGGATCTGATCACTTTTTGCTTATTTTGAATTCATATTCTCCATCGTTCATCCAAGCGGTTGATGTTTAGAGCTGCAATATCTATAGCAAAGCTTGACTGAATAGCCAGGTCACTCAGCATCTTCAACTTCACAGGGCGTCAAGGGTGTAGCACCTCAAAAGATGCTGTTGCATCAAAAAGTTGACAACCCAGCTGATTTTGAGCTCCGAATAAGGGCGCTTCGTGTATGCCAAGCCTCGCTCTCATTCCTAAATTGGCCCAAGGAGAGTTTATGTGGCAACACTGATTCGTGTAATTGCCAGATTGCGTACAAAGTCGCCAAGCAGTTAATTATGCTGCCTTTCACCATCTTGGACCTGAAATAGGCAGAACCAACTTTTCCAGTTGAACCCGTTGGGTGAGTCCATGCATTCCAACTCCCGCCTGCGATAATATGGAGAGCCAGCAACCAGCTGGGCATCGAGAACCTGATCTGAAAAGATGCAACGGGGGTTCTGGAAGACCACTGGGCCACAAAGTACAAATCTAAGATTCATGTGTCGCATGTCTCGGGCTGTGCCAAGCAACGCATAGGTTCGGTCGGTTGCAAACGAACTCGCAGCTCGCTGCGGGCTTTGCAAATTTCGAGCCGTTGGTGGATTGGAAAAGCATGCAGAGATGGCAGAGATATGGTTTCATGATGGGACGGAGAAGAAATCCATTTTTCTGCTTAACTTCAAGCCGAGCATTCCTACTCAGGTATTTGTAGTGGTCACTTGCCAAATCCGACACTCATTTCCAATGCTACAACTGGTGACCACGGCCCCTGTCAGCTTCCACGACACTCTCCCCTTTTTCTTCCATGGCAGGAGAAGACTAGTGGGTCAGGCAGCTACGGGTCGCTCCTGACCAAGGATGTGTTGGCTGTGTGAGACCTGGATAGGGGGTATGATAGGGTCATGCTGGTTCTTGCTTTGCAACATATGGAAACTGCTGTCAGATGCTGTCAATTTGGTGGACTTTCACAGACTGCAAGGATGCCAAACTTGTTCAAAATGGATGCCAAACCCATCAGAATCCCACATTCTCAGCGTGTGACCGGGCGAGCTTTTTGTCTGCTGTAGATCTCCTGCACTGGGACACTTTCAGATTAATATGACATATATATATATATATCATATCATGACTAATGACTCTAATTTAATGACTAATCTACAGTAAATCTACCGTGTACTGCATACAAAGGACCCAGATTGAAACATAGCGCTGCTATTAGTTTATTACTTGCGATGTCTTAGGTTCTTGCGCGCCGTGATCAACGATGCAAGTTCAGTGCAGAATCCCACTGACATAATGTGACAAGACGGAGTGCTTTAAACTAGCATGTGCCACTCCGTGAGAGTGAAGTGCACGATTCCAAATACACTGAGACTTCCAAACAATCCGAAGGCCCATCAAATCTTTTAACATCTTTTAACCATTTGCTCAACTTGGCCCACCCGAGTTTGCAGGGAATGCAATGGAATGCAAGGTTCCAAACTTCCTGAAGTTTCAGCACTTCATTTCCCCAGGCATCTCCTGTACTTCCAAGAACAATGCTTCCTGCACAGCGGTGTCCAAGCATCGTACAGTGAGCCCAAAACCACAAACAAGTGCTTTTCATAAATGAACATTTTCTTGAGAACGGCTCGCTTTGACACTTTGATGGAGTTTCCAGCCACTGAAAACTGTGACAAGTCCGTCTGCTCATATAACAACAACAACAACAATCCCACTCAAGAAGCACTATTATATCTGCAACCATCTGCAACCCATTTCCACACTTTCCGACAAAACGCAGGGACATCATCACTACCGTCCTCGCTACTGCGGCTATATACTATTGTCATTGTTGTCAATGTCAAACGTTCGCCGTCCTCGTCCTTCTCCTAATTCTCACCCTCTGTTTACTCACAGCAATGGGCCACTGAACTTTCGTGTTTTATGTAACCACATTTCTTAGTTTTCACATCCTTTCTCACACATACATTTGTTGGATTTTGATTTTCACATTCTTCTCACAATATCTCACAATCAATCGTTTATATATATTGGATCATCATTGGCCAGGCCAGTTTTGAGACATTCTGAGTTCGACTGCCCCTCAGATCTTCAGTGCGGCAGCAGGCCTTCTCTTCTTTGAGTATCTGGACCTCGTCCCGCAAGTTTCGCAACTGCGCGTTGGTGCCTTGGATCTGAACAATGAAAAGCAGGACCGGCAGGACCATGGTTCCGACTGGAAAAAGTTGACCTGTCGCCCCAGAGTTTTGTAACGAAAACTCCAGCTCTAGCTGCCATGATGATGACGGCAGAACACTGGCAACTGCCGGTATTCAAATAGAACTTTGGTCAAATACAACGGCTGCAGACTGAAAATCAGCAGCATGAGTCTTTTCCCGCACCCTGCCAGCAAAGCGCGACGTCGGTTGGATATTCCACTTGGGATGCAAGGCGGTTGGAAAAATTAGGAGAACGCAAGAGCTGCCAACTGGTGGCAGCTTGGCGCAACATCTGCGACCTGGGAGTGTCCCCAACACTGCGGGCTTTGAAAGGCACATATATCCTGGTGATCCTGGTGATCCTGGTGATCCTGGTGTAGAGAAAGGTACTAACAGCAACAGCTTTGGGAACAAAAGAACGCACACGCACAAATACGCATACACAAACACCAACAGGAAGACCATTTTATTCTATACAATCGAAAACATGGATTTGGGGCCTTGGAAATGGTCCCCCAAAAGATGCAAAGAACGGTATTTACATGTTTTCTAGTGCAAGCACATATTTTCTAAGCTGAACAAACACGAAAACCACCCACCAATTAGATAATTAGTGTTTAAATGTCTCTGCTGACAGAGCTGACCGTTCTGGGCAAACTTCCAGCGCAGATGCGGCCGTATGTTTGGACTGCAAGAGTCTAATAAGATCGGCTCGGGCACTGATCAATGAAGCCGGGTAGCGCACACGGCCACATTGGCTTTGCATAAGCTCGAGCAACCAAACTGTTGATAGAGCAGTGACACCCAGCTGCAATGAAACGCACAGCAACAGGAATATTCTGCAAACATGGTGGACTCTGAATGCCAAGCGAACCAATGAAAGCATATAAAACCCATAAATAAAGCCAGCCTGTGAAGTGTGGTGTTGTCAAATTGCAAGGATTGCTGTTGGAGCCTTTTGCACGATTTCAACGCGACTGCTCCTGGATGGACCAAGAAAGATATGTAATCACACGTACTGTACACATCTACATCATCTACACACAAATGTTTGCGTTTGAATCCCATAAAACTAGCTGGGAAAGACGAATCTTATAGGTGTCACAATTTTCACTCTCTAATTACTTCATGAGTTGTGTGCTGTCTGTCCTCAACCGAGGACGGTCAACTTGGAATTCCTTCTAATGGATCTAAAAGTCTTGTCGTCAATGGAAAGGGCGCTGGTTTAGTGCGGTGATTTGCAGTGCGTACCATTGAACGTGTCTTCAAACAAGTCACGAGCAATGGCCACCTGCTACTGTGGCAGGCAGACGAAAACCAGCCCACTTGGGAAAATCACAATAATCACATAGCGGCAAAGCACGTTGGCATTGTGATGAGCATACATGGTGCCTAAGTGTTTCAGGGGCTAGTCCACAACGAGACTTCGGCACCACTTCATTGATTTTCCCACTTCATGTGCTGGTAAGCCCTGGTGGACGTTAGCTAAGGCTCCTATATTGATTGGGAGCCGCTCTACCACTTACACTCGGATTCGGTGTCCCGATTCTCGGCCTGATGCGGAGCAAATCACCATTCAACACTAATTACTAAGGGTCGATGTGATAATCATGTAGCTCATCCTTACACTCCACCGGTTGAATTGGCACATTTGCCTCTCCACATGTATACAATACCTATACACATTCATACTTATGTACTTATCTGATGTTATCTGTCCAATCAATGTGTGATAGTCAGAATCGAACATAGTCTATCAGTCAATCAGTGTTCATTGATATGGATACTGATATGGTTCACTTCCAAATGTACATCTTGACCCAATACCCCCACACCCAAGCAAGCGTGTTCTTCATCATACAAAGGCCCAATATACGTAATTTATAAAAGTCTTCGTATCCCCCCAAAAGCGATTAAAGCTGGGGTCTAAACCCACTGCAACCAGCATGGAACAGTAGATTTGAAAGGGAAAGAAGTATGATGCTCTACGTATGATACTCAAAGCACCGCTTTTTTATGAGTCTCAGTCGGACTTAGTAGTGTTGTCCTCATGAAGTGGCGAGGCAGCTGAACCATGCTGAACCATACTTCCTTTCATTCTAGTCATTCCATGGTTTGAAGTTGTGCTTTCTTGAAAACTGTTACCAGTACCTTCCTGATTGCAAATGCGGGTGTATTCCGGTCAAAGAGAAGATCACAGATTGGGATTCTGCATCTAGATCATCTAGACCTCTCGGCATTTTCATCATCTTCAATAACTCAACATACTTCAACAAAATCATAGATGAATCATGATGAATCTAAAGTCAAAACGAAGTCACCTACTTTGCCTCCTATTCCTCTGTGTTCGACTGTGCAAACTGCGTTGAATATCCAAGCCATACTGGGAGAATCGGGACTGCCGGTCCCTGGGCTGGGTCTAAATAAGAGTCTACAGGAAAGCTGTCTGCACTGTTTTGTAACATAGATTTCAACAGATTTCATAGCAACAGTATGCCATAGATGTCATAGTAACTTGATGTAACTTCTAACTTTCATAGCAACTGTCATCACCGGTCTCCTTGGATTCATTTGACTTTTGGCTTCACAGTACGATGAAAAAATGCCAACGACTTGGCCATGATTCGGAACAGAAAGTCCAAGTGTCTGCCAGCGTTTTTTGTGCCTACACCCAAAAAGTGCACCAAAAAGTGGATAATGAATGGATAATGAAGTGCCCTCTAAAATGATCGATTCAAGAAGTCACTTTGAAGACTGGCCGCACCCTGGGAATCCCTTGGACATAGACTTTGGAGCCCAGACAGCCTCCATTGAGGTGGAAGACTGGCCGCACGCGGGCCAGTCAGGTGGCCCCCGTTCAGCAGGAATCCGGCATAGGATGTGGGCAACTGATGGCAATTGCTTGAAATAATTCTTTGCCTCCCTGTTTATCAACCAAGCCAAATATAGCCAAATAACATCAAATAACCCGATTCATGCCAATCTCATTAAGTTGTAGACCGTGCACTACCATGGATGTCCAGAAGGCTGTAAGGCTGTAGTCTAAACTGGACCGGATCCTTTGCAGGATTTTGAATCGTTATTGAAGCAATGCTCAAGGAGGTTGCAAGTCCAGCCAGCTGAGCAGTGACTACACGAGCTAAAAAAACCTGCAGATTTGCAAAGCTTCTGTGTCAAGGATCCTCCCAAAGTGGGAGAGTAACACCATTGAACAGTTGTGTCATGTTGTGCATTTTCTTGTTATTGCGCAAAAGCTTCGGCGAAATCTACAGGAAGCAACGATCAGACCCATCCCCACGAAGTTGGGCACATTGGGCACCATGCGAGGCCATGCGAGACCAAGGACTCCTTGGACCTTGGATACATTCCGCCAGTCAGATATGTCTGATATGTTCTCAAATCATCTCAAATCCCCATGCTGGTGTCAATAATCAAATCACAAATGGCTTGGTGAAGAAAAAAATTGGCCAGCAAATTGACGAATCTACCTGCTATAACTGTTTCAGTCACAATGGTAAGCCAATGATCGATAGCGATTCCCATGACTGTCAAATTACCATGATCTTAAAAGCGCAGGAAGATTTCAGGCCACAAAAACAGAATTTTCCAGAATTACCAGTTGGTTCCAACATCTCCATTAAGAGTGTACCCTCTGGTAAACTAACATAACTATGGAAAATCACCATTTTTAATGGGAACATCCACTATTAATGGCCATTTTCAATAGCTACGTTAAATTACCAGAGGGTATTTGAAAACACGACCCGGATGCAGTTCAGATTTTTTTCACATTTTGAACGACCCGGATCGACCAGACTGGATCAGCAAGGTACGGAGTCGATCATTTGATGGTCTGCTTCATCAGCTGTACTGCTGCACGTAGGTTACATACCTTGATGGGTTCCGCAAGGAGAAGCAACACCTGCACCATGGCAAACATGGTATTGAACATGGCAAATATGGTGCACTACTGTATGGTGCACTATGGTGCACTATGGTACACTAATGCGCGATACAGTGCACTATGACCAGTCAAGGTAATTGGGGTGCTCAAGTTATATATATATACACATACAAGTCATGGAATAGTACTATGGAATCTCACGTAATCTCATGGAATCACGCGACAATTGGTGCTGATCACTGGCACTTGCTGGGAGATTCAAGGGGCTGACAAGTCTCTTTCATTCCACCAAATGACCAAACCAAATGTCCAGGGAGAGCAGAGATGGCGTTTATATCGTAGCACACACTTTGATTGTAACCATGGCATTGTAGCTGCAAGGCACTGCAAGGCGGTAAAACTAGAGCAGGAAACCAGGTTACTAAACAAGTGTACCAGTCCTTCCACAACTTAGAGAAATGTCCGTGGTTCATGGTGTATTTTGGTGTGCCTCATCATGTGCCCCGTAGACGTTGCTCTGAACCGCCACATCCCAAGCACTTCGCCCCATTGAGCTCTGTTGAGTGGCATCGGCACCCGCTTGGAGAACAAGGCGAAGTAAGTCGGCATCACCCAAATGGGCTGCCAAGTGGACGGGGTACAGGGTCTCCTGCGGGGTCATGGAACAACTGCAACCGGAACTGGTCTCCCTCAATCGTTCCAGTAAACGCAGGATGAACCAGTAGAAGTGGATAGAAATGATGGGATTGATGGGTATTGGAGTATTGGAGTGGACATGATTTTCGCACAGAGAGTCCTTCCCTGGTTTTCGCTGTGGGCGATTCACATCGGTGCACCCATTAATTTGAAGGAATTTCTTCAGCTCTGCTTGTTGCCTTGGTCAAACATGTCAAACCCGATCGATCCCATGGGCAAAGGTCGCCCCTGTAGGTCCATGGTCCATCTACTTGTGCCCACACATGGACAGGCGTTGCTGACTGGACCATAGAATCTATCTGCCCATCTGTCTACCTATATAATCCTATATATATACACACACCTATACACCTACCATCACCTACCTATCTACCTATCTATTTACCATTATCTACCCATTCAACCATCCGTTTATCCGTTGATCCATGGATCCGTCCATTGATGCATCCATGTTGTTCTTTATATGCACAAACATGATCCAGGTAAATTTGAACAGCTTCGACACATCTCACCTGTGTCGGTGCTTCAAACATGTGTTTATTTAGATTCCACGACTGCAAGACAATGCCTTGTTCACAATCCAAGGCACATCTTGCTTGTCCATCTGCGGGACTTGTCCTGCCAGTTTGCTTCGTTGCACCAGAATCCATGATATGTGTGTGTGTGTGGGATCTCAAGACATACATAGAATAAGGGATCAATCGACTTCCTTGCCAGCGGAACTTTGCAAGCAACAATTTCCCGTGCGAGGATTGAAGGGAACGTCATCATATGTCTTCTGTACTGCGTCCAACATGACACATATTGACAAATACACACGCATGTATACTTATGTCATCATGTGCATGCCAATCTCAGGCTATTTCAGGATTTCAGTCTGAAGTCTGACTTGCCCAGGGCCTTGCGTCGTTGCACAACCGGGCCCTCCGTGGTGTGTTTGGGGATAGTTTGGAATAACATTGTAGAGTCTACAAATTGTAGAGTCCTTCTTCCTCTGAATCTGCCGGCCCTCAAATCACCCCACATCCCACATCCTGGCTCAAGCTTGGCAGAGAAATCAGTCCCTTCGACATGAGCGTGTTCGTGGGGGCGGAGAATGTCTGATCCACAACGAAGCGAGAGATACGTGGCACAGACTAGTGCTGTGACGCGAAGGGAAGAAGCACTCGCCGTTGGATAAGTGTCTAATCACTTGGGCCAAATGGAAAGCGTCGCGAAACCGAATGGAGGCAACTGGCTAGTCCACACAGTCGACGTCCCAATCAAATATGGCATCATAGGACATACTCCCATAATATTCCCATAATCTGTTTATAAATCATCAAAAATCATGCATCGTTCGTGAAAGAACCACCTGTTGGCGTCCCGACCCTCTGATCGTTTTTGCAACTCCTCTGCATGACACCTGCGCCATGCCAAGTGCATCCAAGCGCCAACGGAATCCAATGGATGCAATAGGGAACCAATGGGGACCATTTGGGAACCCATAGGATACCTGTAACCTTTCCATCGGGGTTGGTTGCCTGGATTATTTTCCCAGATTCTCAAATCAGCTCAGATTGTTGGTGAAACCAAAAGAGCTCCTGACCCTGGATATGAGCCGAACTTGCTGGGCCCCTTGAAGTTCCCATCAAAACATAATTAAACTATAATAAATTATCATTAGCTATTGAAACAACAGATACATTTGGGCTGTTTGGGAGACTCCCCAACTTTCTCATCGCAAGTCCTGCCTCCGTTCCTGCAACATGGCCAAAATGTCTTGCCGTTCTTCTTCCAGGTCGGGATCCTACCCAGGAGATGACATGCAAAAAACCATCAAAAAACCATCAAACACCAGCCGATCGAATGCGACCCGTACCTCCACAGGACAGCAAAAAGCAACCCCAGCCCAACCATTGGGGCAACCGAGGCAACCGAGCCAGCCTCATTTTCCATCATTTCTTTCAACTGGGCCTCGGATAATACACAATGCGACATAATGCGACCGTCATGCAGCAGCAAGCTCATGCACTACCATGATTCATGATGTTCACTTTTTTTTCTGATTCACAACACCCTCTCTCTCTCTCTCTCTCCCTCTCTCCCTCCCTCCCTCCCTCCCTCCCTCTCTCTGTCTGCTTTCTACATCCACATGATCTACATGGCGGAAGTGCTGCATTTTTTGGTCGCAGACGTTCAGTTTCAGAATCTCCTCATTGCTCTTTTCTATCCGTTGATTTGCCTGAAGATCTGGTCCAAAAAATGGGAGATTTGGGAATCACCCCTGAAATATGAGGATTGAACCAACCACAAGGGGATATCACGGGGGTGTATAACCAACGATATGAACGATATGGGATGATGTGGGCTATGGTCAAATATGATCAACTATGATATTAAGTATGGTCATCCCACAAATGAAATTCTAATGGGTATTATATAAATCATTATAAATCCGTATTGGTGAATTGGTGACGATCCCCCAACATGGGAAACCCATGGAAACCCTGGTTTTTAAAAGCACTGGAGTCTGCTAACTTCCCATCTGCGTGCAATACGATCTCGTTCAAAAAGATGATACGCCAGGATTCAACCCAACCAAGACCCCAATCAAATCTACTGCTGCCTGCTGAGTGAGTTGGTCTAACTGAAGGCGGAGCTTTTGCTCCTGGCTGCGGGATTAAATGAAGAGCAAGGCACCGCGTTGAGTTTCAGACACAATGACCGAAGCTGAAAGTTCATTGAATCCAGCTCAAAACATGTGTGTCTGGATACCACTAAGCAACTGCAACATCAGGAAGCACGTGACACATCCTCAAAACACATATTGCTGTACACATGTGCATCGTTAAAGATCGTATCACCACGCTCCTCTGCTCGGCGCCGATTGACAAGGTCTTCAGGAGTACCCTCCTATCAGGAAACGTCAGTATCCACGTGTCCAGCAGGCAGGTTGGATTCAAACCAGATTCCAGAAGCACAGGAATGACTACATAACCAATATTCACCAGTCTAACGCCTTTCGTATTCACCCCATTCAGTTGCCGCGGCGTGTTTTTCATTAAAAGCCGACAATCGCTGCCTGAAACAATGGCGGATCGTCTGCGCACCGAATTCCCCCAACTTTGGCACGCTTTTTTCCAGCTGAATCCAGCTGACGTGCGGGGCTCATCTACCAATTTCATCCAGGGATGCTTCCAAAGACAGCAAGGCTGAAGATGTAAACTCACAATCGGGGCCTTCGTAATACAAGGGCGCCACACCTAAGAGTCGCGGCAAACATTTTTGTGCATTCCTGCAAACATCTTTAAACAACCTGGATGTGCTTTTCAACAATTTCCAACAGCCCTTCAAGCTTTGAACCCAGACCTACTTACAAAATGCAAACTCTGAAATCCGCCTCCTGAACAGTCACTGTTCTATATTATCTATATTGAAATGTAGTTGACATATGTTAACATCATCTAAAATATTCTTAAAGAAATCAAATCCTCAAAGGTACGCCAAAGGCACCCGACACCGCGGCTGCCCCCGAGCCATGCCACGGACAGCGCCGGGGGGATGCGGGTTTCGAGGGGCTGCGACGGGGCTCCGCCGCATCCTTCAGCTGCCGCAGGGTGATGTCGCTCTGCGCCACGCGGGAGCCTTGGAGCGGCCACCAGAAATCGGCGCAGAGCCAGCAGAGCAGTTCACAAATTATCAACAAATCATCAAACACCGTTGAAACATCGTTGAAACCAAACTTATCCGAATTTGGGATGATCTTTCAAACCAGAGAGAAGAGAGTCTTAGTTGAAACCCAGCGACATCGACCCATCGACCCACTGTTGAATGGCATTTCCGATTCCACTGGTTTAGACATGGAATGACATCGCTACTTCTAAGTTCTATTAAGTTCCACTATGGTAGAAAATGAACATTCATATAGTCTAACTATGTATAGCTACAGTTGTTTGCAAATCTCGAACAACTTACTACTCGGGACAAATTCCTTTTGCTACAACTTCACATATTCTAGAGATGTTCATCAAGATGAAGGTGCCACAAACATCTTGCAATCTCCCAGGCCATCATCATGTCAGATCATAAGCAGTTTCTTTCTTCTCTTCCGAACATGTCGGTTTGGAGGGAGCATTGTTGATGAACTGGGGCTTGCAATCCAGCAAGATTAGAACTCCCTGAAAACATGTAGAATCACTTCACAGAATCCTGACAAAAGGCACCCAACTTTCCAGACATGTCCAGACTGTCCAACAAGATCTACCTCCATCCCACAAGGTCCAAGGAGCGCGCCGCCTCCGCCTGCCTGGAAGGGCTCTGAAGAATCTATGGGATTAATATATTGTATATTTAACATTATACAACGCTCTCTTTGTACATATTACATATCATATATATTAATACACATACACACTGTATATACTGTGCATACACTGTGTATATTATATATATATGCACATATTTATGTATCACTTTTTTCGTACGTGTAGAATCAGAAATACAAGCGGCTAAAACCCTCGAACCCTCCTTTTCACCGTTAAGTTGCTTGCAATACTGGTAAACCGTACTCATCACAAGCAACCCACATCCCAATGGGACAGATTCTCCCACTTAGCTTAGGTGATCTGGAATGGGGAAGTCTGGACAGTGGGGATTGAGCTAGTCTCTCTTTGATGAGGGACAAATGGACACATATTCAAATGATCAAAGGAAATTCTACTCCTATGGTTGTCATCAGTACTATATATACACATGTATAGAAACATAGTTTTTTCATTAATGGGAAAGGTGATCAATAGGCTTCCACTGATGACCAGGATAAACATATCAGTGCAACGTCTGGGATATATAGTATTATATACTTATAATGTATATATATATATATGTATATGTGAACATTGCAGTATATCAGTGAGTTCACAGGAACATGAATGGGATACATAAGATGCCTACATGGGTTCTTAGTTGGTATCTTTCTGGAATAAAATCGGATGCTGGCATATCCAAAAATGGGGGGGTATCCAAAAGCTTAATTCCACTGTTTAGTACTGTTTCATGCTCTTGGGAATGACTGGTTGGGGGATCCCCCTATCAACCAAAAAAATACTGCAACAAATGGGCAATGACAATCTAAAGAAACATGTCCACGGAATGCTTGCTGACATGTGATGCTGCTCCAATGACATCACAGCACTGATTTTTATCATCCATGCAACCCTTCAAACTCATCGAGAGGAGTAGAGACGAGTAGCTTTGTAAACAACAGCCACTAGACTCACCAGACATCGAGTCACATATTGCTTCGCTATGCTTCGTTATTGAAAGGACACATCAATGCACTTTCCAACATCTTCCAATAGCGAAGCAGCGAAGTTACCAAATCAGTGACCGGCCTCATGAGCTTGGCATGCAGCCGAGCGGATCCACCGCCCGCCTGAGAGCGGAAAAGGTCTTGGGACCCTGGGGCTGGAGACTAGGTCAAGATATGTCAAGACTATGACTATGACTATCAAAATCTATCAACAATTGTTTGAGGTACACCTCAGCCATTGACCAGGAATGATAAAGAAACCAGTGGATTTAAGGGCACCTTCTTTCTAGATAGACAAAGCCATCATGTGTGCTGGAAAAATGCCTCAGACCTTTGGAAAGAGCAAATTCTGGACAGCTACAAATTGGCACATGTGAATGCAGAGGATCCACCGCTGCTATGTCATTGTGAAGCATGGAATCAGTACACGTTGCTGGACAAAATAGCACGTACTATTGATACATACTCACAGGAATTTTTTAGATGCCTCGTACTGCCCATGGGGAGACCATGAATATTGATATTATGGGTGTACTTTGATCTAATAATGGCTTCATTAGTATATAGATGATGATATCTTCTGATCTTATCATAAAAAATGACAACAAATTCACATCTCGGCGTATTTATGGAATGACACCATGGGTGTGGGCATGATCATGCCATTAAAAAAACACCATTTTTCCTTGGTAAAATTGGTGAAATCGTAACTTTTGATGGGTTTTGAGCCATCCCCGGCCATGAATTCCTACGGTTGGCACCTGAGGCACCCTGGGAGGCTTCGCTGGCGCCGGCTTCGCCAAAGGTCGCACGACCTGTGCCTCTAAGTCGATGGCCTTAGCGGATTCAGCGGATCTGAGCTGCAATACATAGATGCACTGTATACAGTATTTACATATATATATATTGTATTTAAAAATAATGACAATAATTAACAATAATAAGAATTGATAATAATATTATACATGCTAACATTTATATTCCTATAATATATAATATATATATATATATTACTATATATATATGACATGATATGATAAACCAGCAGGAATAGGGGGTATCACGGAATAGCAATGAAGACGTGATAGATACAGCAATACCCCCGAAGACATATGGTATCAAATTCTGTCAGATACGTCTGTCTCTCCAAATATACATGGATAATGATGGAGATAAATTCATGTTCGATCTGAAACATGTTGACACTACTGGAATTAGTTCATTAGTACTGTTCGATCACTAGGAACCACGGACAGCGTTCTCCAACATTGCGAGTTGATGTTAGAAGAAACAAAACATCTTATGCCGCTCCTTTCCTTCTGGCAGGTTAAAACCATGAGCCAAGCAAGTACCCACCTTCCAAAACCTAGAACTCCTGGTGGGCCTCTTGGCCACACAATAGTTGCATCAAAAATTGCCAATCCGTCACCCCAAGTCGTGTTCATTTTAAGCCCCGGTGGCATACCATGGCGATGCCGCTGGCCTCTGGCTTGGTGCTTGACGTGCCTGTGAAGCATTTTGGCTCACATGATGTCAAGGCTGGGGGTGGTCAGTGAAAAACGTGCTTTCAATTTCACGTCTTCCCTTTTGCAGTATCTTCCCACAACTGGATTTCCACAAGGGCATGAACCTCGCCACTCCCATAAATCAGATTGCCATCCGTGATCATACTCGTGATCGCACTCGGAATCTTAATGTAAACGTAATGATGGTAGATTATAGTAGTAATAACGACAATCATCACAATAATATTCAATAATATTCAATAATATTCAATAATATTCAATCATATTCAATAATATTCAATAATATTCAATAATATGCAATAATATCCCTCATCCAAACCTAGAGACAAGACATGAGGGATGAACCCAGCCATCTACAACAACACCTCAGTTGATTGTCTTGTGCCTGCTTCTGACGGGCAGCCTCAACCTTTCCGGCCAAGCATTGCACAAACTTCATCTCCTGAGCATCTGCTGGTGGTGGCAGAATGCATCGGAAAAGGCATGAGATTGGCACTTGTCCATGAGGGGGAGGCAAGACATATTAATTCGGGCTGCTAACAAAACGTTATTCTTCTCCAGATTCTGAAAGGGAAACAGCTGTAATCATACTGCGCAACTCAGGACAACTGGGATACTGCTGGGCCTGCTTCAGGTCCAGGCTTAAGATTTAGTTGGTACCTGACCCATAGCGTTAGTCGATCTTGGGCTGATTCGGAGCAAACACTGGTTACCGGCTCGTGGCACCCATTGAAGGAAGGAATCCTGCCCGGCTTTGCATGATTGTACCACTGCTGCCACTGCAGTCTCTGCAATATCAAGTGCTTTGAAACAATCATATTTCATCTCATCTCCCATATTAGCCATATATCATCAACTGCAACAGCATCCATTTGGTTCAAAGACCCAACAGTGATCAGTGATCCCTGCGGCCCTTGACCTGCCATCCGCCAAGCTTCGGAGGTGGAGACCAATTCCAACTCAGCCTGCTGAGCACCAAGTGGCGTGGCTGGACGGGAAACCCAGCTCTTGTCCCTGGGCGACCCTTGCACATCATAAAATGATGTCGATGTAATATGATGTAATATTATGATGTAATAGTATGATGTAATATGATGTAATATTATGATGTAATAGTATGATGTAATAGTATGATGTAATATTATGATGTAATAGTATGATGTAATATTATGATGTAATATTATGATGTAATATTATGATGTATATATGATGTATTATGATGTAATATTATGATGTAATATGATGTAATATTATGATGTACTATTATGATGTACTATTATGATGTACTATTATGATGTATTATGATGTAATATTATGATGTAATATTATGATGTAATATTATGATGTAAATATTATGATGTACTATTATGATGTAATATTATGATGTAATTATGATGTAATATTATGATGTAAATATTATGATGTAATATTATGATGTAATATTATGATGTAATATTATGATGTAATATTATGATGTAATATTATGATGTAATATTATATGTACTATTATGATGTAATATTGTGTTGTAATATTATGATGTACTATTATGATGTACTATTATGATGTAATCTTATGATGTAATATTATGATGTAATATGATGTAATATTATGATGTACTATTATGATGTACTATTATGATGTACTATTATGATGTAATATTATGATGTAATATTATGATGTAATATTATGATGTAAAATTATGATGTACTATTATGATGTACTATTATGATGTAATATTATGATGTAATATTATGATGTAAAATTATGATGTACTATTATGATGTACTATTATGATGTAATATTATGATGTAATATTATGATGTAATGTTGTGATGTAATATTATGATGTAATATTATGATGTAATATTATGATGTTATATCATGATGTAATATTGTGATGTAATATTATGATGTAATACTATGATGTAATATTATGATGTAATACGATGATGTAATATTATGATGTAATATATGATGTAATATTATGATGCAATATGATGTACTATTATGATGTACTATTATGATGTAATATTATGATGTAATATTATGATGTAAAATTATGATGTAATATTATGATGTAATATTATGATGTAATATTATGATGTAATATTATGATGTAATATTATGATGTAATATTATGATGTAATATTATGATGTAATATTATGATGTAATATGATTATATAATATGATGATGTAATATTATGATGTAATATTATGATGTAACATTATGATGTAATATTATGATGTAATATTATGATGTAATATTATGATGTAATTTGATGATGTAATATTATGATGTAATATTATGATGTAATATTATGATGTACCGTAATGTTATGATGTAATATTACGATGTAATATCATGATGTAATATTGTGTTGTAATATTATGATGTAATATTATGATGTAATATTATGATGTAATATTATGATGTAATTTGATGATGTAATATTATGATGTAATATTATGATGTACCGTAATGTTATGATGTAATATTACGATGTAATATCATGATGTAATATTGTGTTGTAATATTATGATGTAATATTATGATGTTATATCATGATGTAATATTGTGTTGTAATATTATGATGTAATATTATGATGTTATATCATGATGTAATATTATGATGTAATATTATGATGTAATATTACGATGTAATATCATGATGTAATATTGTGTTGTAATATTATGATGTAATATTATGATGTTATATCATGATGTAATATTGTGATGTAATATTATGATGTAATACTATGATGTAATATTATGATGTAATACGATGATGTAATATTATGATGTAATATATGATGTAATATTATGATGCAATATGATGTACTATTATGATGTACTATTATGATGTAATATGATGTAATATGATGTAATATGATGTAACATGATGTAATATGATGTAGTATGATGTAATATGATGTAATATTATGATGTATATAATTTATATAATATTTTGTAATATTATGATGTAATATAATGCGATATGATGATTGGTCAGCTCGGTCATTTGGATAAATCAAATTAATGCAAAATGTGAGTGAGACAAACTTCTGGTGGGTTTCGGGCAGGGTTGCTAGGTAGATCACTGTCTCCTGTTGAAGGAACCATGGGAGAACGTGCATTTGCAATAAGTTTCAGGCGCAAGCCAAGCATTCATCACCCTTCCGAGGCAGTTCCACCAAACAACATCAAACAACTAGGTTCCCCCGCCAAATCTGTTACATGCAATGTCTGTATGCAGTAGTCACCAAACAAAAAAAAACATGATAAGGTACTTTCAAAAACCAGTGTAATCCGGCCATGGGTCAAAACATTTAAAACCCTGGTTAAACCCAACATATCTGGTACTGCAAGTGGCTGCTCATCCCTATCAACTTATATATCAAATAATATCAAATAAATTTAACTAATATTAAATAATGAAACGACATGTGTAGGTGTGTTGATCCACAGCCATCCAGTGTCTATCCTGCCGAATGTGGCAACACCGAGCAACGCCACCAGATCGCAATGGTGGCCTTGATGCGGTTCCCTGGGCCGGCAGGTCTGAGGCTATCTCACAATCATCCAACAGCCATCCAATAGTAATCTTAATATAATAAACATATTCAATATGATGACATATATATATATATATTAATAGTCATAGTACATCCAATATCCAATAATAATATATTTTAATAGTCATCCAATATGTAATATAATATATATAATATGATGACACGCATAATCAAAATATGGTATTTAAACAAACACTTTCTGCGATCTGACACAATGAATTACAATGAATTACAATGAATTACACATATTCTGACATTTTAAGTTTGATACATATTCCGACATTTTTATCTGACATTCATTTACAAAGTCTCACACTACACGGCTACTAAGAGCGAAGGAGGCCCTCTCTTCCAAGCCTTCCAAACCTGATTCACATATACTATCTGGCGTTTCATGTGGCATTCTACCCATATCTGACATTTTACCTGGCACAGTGTTCGGGTCTGGCGCGGCCCAGAGCGCTGGCAAGCTCACCATTCGGTTCGGGCCCGGCGAGCTTGTGGGAGACGCTGGCCAGGACAACTGGCGATGATCTGCTTGCGAGGAAGCGCAATGAGGAACAGAGTGACGAGGCGGAGGAGGAAGGGAGGTGCAGGATGTATAATATAAAATACATATATTATATGAATTTATATGATACATAGAATCTACAGAGGCCCTTACCTGGCAGCTGGGAAAAAGCTATAGAATATTAATATATTCCAACATCATGCAATGCAACAAGTGTCGTCTAGCAGCTGAAGATGAACATTTCATCTTGAGGTTTTTCCGATCCAGCTTCTGATGGCATCAGCAAGAGTACAATCCGTTGGACTGTTGGTTGGTGGTTCGGGCAACTGGCACTTGGGATACAGAATTGAGTAAGATAGGATGGACACAGATTCACTGTACAGTACAAGCACGACCATGTCAGAAATCAGTTTTTGGGATGTGGAAAATGGACCGCAAAGGATTGGTTTGTTTTTTTCAAATAAAAAGGACATCGCTCACATTTCCAGAAACATTTCCCACTTGCGAGCGGGTATATCCACATTCCTTGTATACCATTACTCTGCAAAAAGATGCAAAAAACTCATTTTTCACGTGTTATGTTATTCGCCATATTAGCTAAATATTGATTCACATTTTGGGGCTGTGAACCTTCCCAACCAAGGTTCATCCCTCCGGGTCTCCGGTGCGACCAGTGTATCCACCGCCGATTCAGCAGGGCATGGGGCGACAGCTGCCGAAACCATCGGATGCTGCTCAGATTGCACCACAAACTGCGCATGCACAAGCTTCCCGTCAGTTGACGGACATTCCTCCAAATCAGCCACCTCTGTTTGGACAACCCTGGCGGCCATGGAGACTGGCGACCTCGGTACAGAATATGAACCAGTTTGCGCAACCTTCACATCAGTTGAAGAACTCTGCTCCATATCAGCCACTGCCTCCGCTTGTACAACTTTTGCATCTGTTGAGACTGGCGATCTTTGTGCAAAAAATGTAGCAGTTTGCGGAGCCTTTGCATCAGTTGAAGAACTCTGTTCCATATCAGCCACCCCCGACACGTGTTCAACCCTTGCACCTGTTGAAACTGGCGATCTCTGTGCAAAAAATGAAGCAGTTTGGGTGGTCTTCACACCAGTTGAACGACGCTGTTCCTCATCAGCCTCTGCCTCCGTTTGTACAACTTTTGCATCCGTGGAGACTGGCAATCTCCGTGCACATGCTGTATCAGTTTGGACAAGTTTCACGTCAGTAAGCGGCAGGCCTTCCAAATCTGTGAGATCAAAGGCCTCTGTTTGAATGACCTTGACAGCGCTGACACGAGGCAATTTTCCCGCGGAGACAGCTGAGACCATGTCTGTTTGGACAACCTTTGCAACAGTGCAAGCACTATGCTCAGAATCAGTGAACAACTCTGTCTGCACAAGCTTTGCGTCTGAAGACAACCGCAGCCGTCCAGAAGATACTGTCTCAGTTTGCACAACCTTCACGTCAGTTGAACGACGCTGTTCCTCATCAGCCTCTGCCTCCGTTTGTACAACTTTTGCATCCGTGGAGACTGGCAATCTCCGTGCACATGCTGTATCAGTTTGGACAAGTTTCACGTCAGTAAGCGGCAGGCCTTCCAAATCTGTGAGATCAAAGGCCTCTGTTTGAATGACCTTGACATCGCTGACACGAGGCAATTTTCCCGCGGAGACAGCTGAGACCATGTCTGTTTGGACAACCTTTGCAACAGTGCAAGCACTATGCTCAGAATCAGTGAACAACTCTGTCTGCACAAGCTTTGCGTCTGAAGACAACCGCAGCCGTCCAGAAGATACTGTCTCAGTTTGCACAACCTTCACGTCAGTTGAACGACGCTGTTCCTCATCAGCCTCTGCCTCCGTTTGTACAACTTTTGCATCCGTGGAGACTGGCAATCTCCGTGCACATGCTGTATCAGTTTGGACAAGTTTCACGTCAGTAAGCGGCAGGCCTTCCAAATCTGTGAGATCAAAGGCCTCTGTTTGAATGACCTTGACATCGCTGACACGAGGCAATTTTCCCGCGGAGACAGCTGAGACCATGTCTGTTTGGACAACCTTTGCAACAGTGCAAGCACTATGCTCAGAATCAGTGAACAACTCTGTCTGCACAAGCTTTGCGTCTGAAGGGAACCGCAGCCGTCCAGAAGATACTGTCTCAGTTTGCACAACCTTCACGTCAGTTGAACGACGCTGTTCCTCATCAGCCTCTGCCTCCGTTTGTACAACTTTTGCATCCGTGGAGACTGGCAATCTCCGTGCACATGCTGTATCAGTTTGGACAAGTTTCACGTCAGTAAGCGGCAGGTCTTCCAAATCTGTGAGATCAAAGGCCTCTGTTTGAATGACCTTGACAGCGCTGACACGAGGCAATTTTCCCGCGGAGACAGCTGAGACCATGTCTGTTTGGACAACCTTTGCAACACTGCAAGCACTATGCTCAGATTCAGCAACTGCAAGCATTTGTGCATCTTGCATTTCAGCACCAGAGTATGAAGGCCCACGATCATGTACCGGATCTGTCTGGACATCTGTCTGGACAACAGCTGTCTTCAAAGCCTTTCGGGAAGGAGGGCTTTCATGAGTTTGCACAATCTGCTCCCTCGATTGAAGTCTGTCTGTTTGCACGGCTTCGGATTTCCTGGCCCCATTGTCTTGTGTCAATGCCGCAAGACTTGTATCAACCCGTAGAAGTGGATCATCAACAGCTCTGCACCAGGTCAAGAATGCATTTCTGGCAAGTCTCTGCCGGCTGCGATGTGAAAACGCTCTCACTGCGAGCTGTTGAACTCGATTCTGATCATGCATCCTCCGCCAAGCTCCAAAGCTGATCCGCAATCTCCGCAGTTGCCAGGGAAACGGCCCTGTACACATGAACTTGGCCCGTTTTGACCAGGATCGCAAGATCAAACTCACAACTCCACAGAAATACCAAGACCTCCTTTGCAGTAGCTTGTCCAGAATTTCCACATGCCTCAAACAGGTCAGGGAAAAATGCACCCTTCTGGCAGCCCCTTCTGGCATCAAGCTGCCCCCCTTCTATACATCAAAATACCGAATGGGATCTGGATTTCATGCCAATTCAATCCTGCCAGCGTGTTCTGATCGGTGGAATCTAGGGGCCGTTAGATTTCATACTGAAATAGAGCTGAATTGGTGTGAGATTGACTGCTTTTGACCCAGAGCTTGAAAAATATCGTAAAGCAGTCCTTTGCACCGGAAACTGTTTGTATATAATGAGTTTTTATTCGAATCTGAATCAACATTTACCGGCAGTAAACGCGTTTGGCCTGCTGTCATGCAACAAAACACATTGGCACACCTCACGTGTACAATATGTACTCTGGCATTTCTTCTCGGCACACCAAGGACTAACAAAGCGCCTTTTTTCAGTCTCTTCTTCTATCATTTGTTTTGACCCAACACAAAGTTTAAGTCACAAAAATCAAAACCTACAATGGACACTCATTAACACCCCAATACCCTTAGCCGCCGCCATCCACTTGTTTGTTTGTCAAGCTGCAAAATCCAGCGTTGACTGTTTTTCGCTGTGTCTTCATCCTCGGAACGGGCTTCAGACATGTCTCTTTGAAGGATTACCACACCTTTTACTTCGGCTTTCACACACACAGAGGTAGAACCTGGAACTGTGTACCACCTCTGAGATGCTATATTAGGGATGGTCTATTCGAAAAGCAAAGCAAAAACCCAACATTTAAGCAATTTTGGTTTAGGGCTTAAGGTCTTAGAGACATACGTCGCATACGTCGCATACGTTTTTGCTGGCAACATGAAGAATAACATGCCCAAATTCTATAGACTTTTGCCACGTGAATGAAGAATTACCCAAACCGGCAACATGTGCACATGTTGTGAGAAGAAAACACCTGTTGAAGCAAATCATAGGAGTCCAGTTGAGCCTTCACAGACAGCAGGTCCAAGGTAAGCTCATTCAACCTTAGTTCTGACCCGACAGGTGCCGCGAAATGTTGACATCACCTCCGAAATACTGTTTGCTTGGCCAATCTTATGACCTCCGACCACATTTTTGTGTAGAAAATGCGTGCTACGTCACGTTGGGTCTATATTCAAAACAAACCCAATATACCCATGTTGCATTCAACCAGCGGCAAGAGTTCCAAATTCAAGCTTCAACCTTTGGAGGGCCACTGCACCGAAGTACCCTGAAACCTTCAATCTCTGGGTAAGTACCAATTTCATTTGGGTCGATACCTATTATTGCCATATTTTGGGGGAATAAATGTGCATCAACCATTCATAGAAATATATAGAAATATCTGGACGGGACTGGCTTGGATGGTTTTGGAATCAGGACGCAAAACCATCACAAGACCGAGGCACTTCATGGATCTGAGTTTGTCGCTTTGATACTTCAGCCCATCCTCTGGCGTCGGTGGCTCGTGTGGAGCTGGCGTCTCTGGCTCGGGTGGCTGGTCATCCTCAGAGATCTGCAGCTGGTCAATTCCCAAGGAATGAGCTGGAGAGTAGCGAACGATTTCGTGGCATACCTTGAAATTCACCGTAGCTGGAGCTCCAAATTTTGATCCACCTTGTAGCACCTTGTGAACAATTGATTACACACATCTGTGATCCTAAGATCATCTGCAACTTTCAGGATTAGAGTTGGTATGAGTTGGATAGCAAGTCATCCTGCACTTTCCAAGCGCAGACGCAGGCTCTTCCTCTGTTTGTGGAGCATTGCCTTCGGCGCTTGCAGTAGCATTCTTAGAGGATGAGACGGCTTCAATCCTCCTCCTGCCGCGGTGCTTCTCGAATCACAACAAAAATGGATATGGAACAGCCCCAAGGATCCAAAGGCCTCCCGGAAATCTCAGAGTGACGTGACCTGATTGTGGATCATGTCACCTATACTGTCTGAGCTTACCCTTTGAACATGCATTTCAAATAGACCACCATGATCTCCGATCTAAAGAGTTGAATGGTAATCATTGAATATCATTGAATGATGTTCTGTTTAAGGATGCTTAAGGGCTTGCACTCGCATGACCGGTGACATGAGGGTAGTCCATCACTGACCGTGTCCCGGTCCTGGTCTCGTTGAATTCTCTTTGCTTCTTCAGCTCATCTCTTTGGAGCTGCAGTTGATGAAAGTCCTTGATAACATGCGCAACATGGCAAAGGACAGAAGTTCTCTTGTCGGATCTTGTCGGATGTCGGCAAATCAACAGAATTTTGACATCGGCAAATCAACTCAAAGGCGCTCAAAGGATGATTCTGAAAAAGGCACTCTCAAATCGTTTACAAAGTTTACAGCTGTCTACGGCGATGATATTTGATGATATCTCATTAATTAATAGGGGGATAGCCAAGACACTCTCACAATGCACAAAACAATGCAGAAGGACTTTTCCAGTCATACTGGTAGGGATGGAAACATAGGTGTTTCAACAGTGTTTCAACATGTGGTGGATCAAAATTGAAGAGGCAACCAAAAGGATTGGTTGCTTTGACGATCAACCATCCAGCTTTGCAGTCACCCGAATTCGACCCATATCATCCAGCTTTTCCATCCCAAGAACATCTGAATAAATCCCAGGGAGCGGAGTTCGAAGCCCTCGGTCATTCCGAAAACATACTGGTTAATAGGGATGTCCAGTTCATGGATGCTGATAATCCCATGGTAATCCCCAATTCATAGTAACACCATTACAACAACTAGGTGTAACAACCAATCAAATCCATCAAATCCATCAACAATCAAAGCATATCAAAGCATTTCAACAGCGGTCAACTGAATCAACTGCTCATCCCAGGCGCTTGACTCAGCAAACGCGCTTCTTCTTCACGAAGCTTCGATCTGCGCGTCTCATTGATTTCCTGCCAGTTAAAAACTCGTCAGCAGAGAGCGAAAGTACTCCATTCCTGAGTGACATTGTTACCTTGAGTTTGATCAATTACGCTAGAGTAAAGTAGCATAGACCTGGAATATCCACCATTGGACCATTTATATCATTTCCTTTTAACAAAATGGGTAGCCCGATTTTGCCCATATCTATGTCAGTTTACCCCAAATGGCTTTCCGCACCTGTCGAGACTCTGCGGAAGCTGGCGCTACTCCATTGCTCGCCTGTCGAAGCGACCCGTCCATGGCGTCCATGTCCCATGTCACCCGGGGAGCGCAGGATGAGGGAGATCCCATCTGCCCACTTGAAACATCACTGTACAGGGTATCACATCAACTCGCAGTGTCTTAGTGTGTATTGTTGAACAACACCATGCTGATCAAACGAATTGTGTGATACAACAAACATTTATGCAAACATTATGTTTAGTTTTGGATAACAGATGCCCTGCCGTGACACAACAAATTGTATCAAATCAGACAATGATAATTGGTCCAAACATATTCAAATAAAATGCATCTCAGGCTATGCATCAGACCATGCCATGCAGCATCACATTGCCTCACATACCTATCATATCATCTGCAACCATGAAACCGTGTCAAATATGAGTGTGTCTGAAAATTGGGTACCCCTAAAACACATTGTTGCTCATCGTTTTCGCCATTGAAATCGCAATTTTAATCTTGGACAAACCACATTGTTTTTGGCCAAGTCATATGATCCGCTATGTACAGTGCTCCTCACCTTGAGCTGCTCCACTTCTTCTTGTAATCTCCGTCGCAGCTGTCGTTCCGCGTGCAACTCACGGTGCACCTGTTGGAGCTCTTGCCTCGGCCAGCTGTTGAGATGTACCATGATGTAATGATGTACCTTTGCATACCTGCCCACCTCCGTCGGATAACAATGACACTTTCTTTGACGCAAAAAGATGTAAAAAAAGGATTCACCTTGGCGACAGTGCAGCTGTGTTGCTGGTGTAGCCATTCGGCCCCAGCATCGCAGCTTTTTAGCTTAGCGTGCCAGGTCTTTAGAATCAGAGTACCTTAGGCGCTGGCGGTGCCCGACATCTTACAAATTCCAACTTTCTGCTTTACCCCTGTAATCCCCTGTACAGATATGTCAGATATGTACAGATCATGTATATCAGTGCAAGGGACACCACAAAGCATTCTTCTCATCTTCCAATGCCGCGGTGACTGTCTCTGTAGCCAATGTCAGGCGCTGGTAGCGGCCCAAGACATCTTGATGCTGTCGCATTTCTTGGAAGCCTCAAAAACTTGGCAAACTTGAAAGAACATGTAAGAACAAAGCAGAATGTCTCGCCAGTGAACCATCGGCAACCAGTTGCTTCTACACTTCGGAGTAAACTGAAGTAGCAAGCGAGATGGCACAAGCACAAACTAAAATGGCGAAGGAGTTGAACCCTTTAAGTATGTGCGAAAAGGCAAATTCAAAGGGGTAAGATGGCCACAGCATCATTCCTCGAGTCCTTGAGTTTCCGCATTGTAATGGACAAGTCAAGTCGCTCACTCGCACATATTTACTTTTGCATTGCAGCAAATGCTCAGGACACAATACACGTGTGTGTGTGTGCGCAATGAATCTGTGTCTCGCCTGTCATACCCTCCCCTCGCTTGATTCAATAGAAAGTCTGCATAGGAACTAACAATATCAAACATACACGAAAATATGCCCCCGGTATCCGCCAGCACAATGCGTTGTCAGTTGCAATACAACTTGCCCACCAGCAAAACAAATCAGAACAGTATCTGTTTACAACAGGATTCCTTGCACTGGCTCTTAAATTCCATCATGGAAACGTGACGAAACGTGCATGTATGTACACACGAATAGCCAACCGACCAACCTCAACTTCCCAGGAACAGTGTGCTGTAGCCACACTCCTGGCCCAGGCTTGAAAGGCCTTCAACCGATAGCCGTCTTGTTCACAAAGATTCAGCACGCGGCTGATGGCTTCTCTGACGGCTTCTCTTCCTCCCCTTTCCCTTCGATTTGACGCGAGGCTAAGACGCCAAGCTTTCCAGAACCAAAGGCGCAGCAATCGACCCTGACAAATGGACGCGCAAGCCAGACCCGCATTGGCCAGAACCGCGTAGCGCACGCACGTACCTGAGAAACATTTGGTAATCAGAGAAGGCTTCAAATTGGATGCGAGCATCCCCAGTTTCGTGACAAACTTGAATCTTGGAGATTCTTGGAGCAATCATTTAGCACAAAACAGGACACATAGGACACACTAAACACATGTTGGGCAGGTGGGGTCCGGACCCATCCCTGCAGATTCTAGTGACGCCCAGCCGTGGCTTCGAAGGCTGCGAGTTGCTCCTGGGAGCTCCGGATTGCCTGTTGGGATGCCACGACACATCTCCTGGACGGGAGCAACAAATTGTGCTTGCAGGTCTCTACACGTCTCACCACGTGTCAACACGTTTCAACCAGTTCACCTGGAAGTAATTACCTGGAGAACTCGACTTGGACATTGCCAGATTCCAATCTCTCGACAGCAATCATGGATCCATGGACTCAATATTCACTTTGATGTCAAAATTGACCAAACTCGTTTCTGAGTTCCCTGGTTAGTAGGCACACCTTTTTGGGCATGATACCACAAGTTCGAGTGAGAACTTAACTAAGCTGAAACAAGCATAAGCAGGACAAGCCGGGCTTCGAACCTGTCGCCCAACACTCGTGAAGCAAAAGAATTGCAAACTCTTCTGGGAAAGGCATGGTAATAGACTCCCTCAAACTTCATTTTAGAGAACCCAAGGAACAGAGAACCAAACCCAATTTTGCAGTTGAAATGTAGTGGATTTAGTATGGAATCGCTAGGTTCCCACCAGTTTAGGACCGGTCCAGAGGCTAAAAACCGCTTGCTGTCGAACATTCCAGCAACGCGAGAGCACTCTGCCTGGGGTGCTTCGCCGCTCAGGGGACATGACATGAATATTCATGAATATTGGATGAATACTGTAAATTACAGTATATACAAGTACGAAAGAAAAAACACACACACACATATGCAAAGAGATCTGCACTTGTCCATCTATGCATCTATCTATCTATCTACCTATCTATCTATCTATCTATCTATCTACCTATCTACCTATCTACCTATCTACCTATCTATCTATCTATCTATCTATCTATCTATCTATCTATCTATCTATCTATCTATCTAATCTATCTAATCTATCTAATCTATCTAATCTATCTAATCTATCTAATCTATCTAATCTATCTAATCTATCTAATCTATCTAATCTATCTAATCTCTATCTAATCCTATCTAATCTATCTAATCTATCTAATCTATCTAATCTATCTAATCTATCTAATCTATCTAATCTATCTAATCTATCTAATCTATCTAATCTATCTAATCTAATCTATCTAATCTATCTAATCTATCTAATCTATCTAATCTATCTAATCTATCTAATCTATCTAATCTATCTAATCTATCTAATCTATCTAATCTATCTAATCTATCTATCTATCTAATCTAATCTAATCTTATCTATCTATCTATCTATCCAGCTGTAACTTTTTCTACATGGATATATAGGCATACATACACATAGATTCACGTATGTCACTAATGTAAAAACATGGGATCACATTGCTATATAGAATATAAGTGGATATGAACAAATGTGTAGCGATTACCATAAATTATAGTTATTATGAGTATCGCACAAAATATGCGGGTTTAACATGGATTTCTCACACTGGGAAATGGCCATTTTTACACTGACCTTTTCATGAGACAGTGCCACGCTCTTTTTCCATGTCCAGGCATGAGTAGGTACTTAATTTGGGGCAAACAAAATACCCCAAGACATCCAGACATTTTCCCAGCCCAGGCACGCAAAAGTGCTGATCCCCCGCTCAAACTCAGCCTGTCATGTGGCCCCGGGGCTGCACGTTGCCATGCCAAAAACGCCAAGGACTTCAGTTCATCGGAAGGATGATCCTAGGCCCCGGCACAAGGGTTTGATGGGGACCACTTCATTGAAACATACCGAAGTTGACTTGATGCATCAATATTACAGTACATCCTTCTCCACGAGGTTTGATATTCACAGCAATCCAAAGAGGATGGACAAATATGGACAAGGGGCAGATGTACTTGAAGCGGACTGTTTGGCACTGTATGTTGCCTGACATGTGAAGGTACTCATGCCATCTGCCATCAGTCTGATCCCAGGAAGCTGATGAAACACCACATAAAAACGATACAAACATCGAAACCCCTGTGTCATCCTGTGTCCAAAATCCATGGAAAAGACATGAAAGGAACATATCACCAAGAATTGGTGCAACGCATCTAGTCGTAAGCTAGAATCAGGATCTACGGACTCTACTGATCATTATGAATCATTATGATCAATCATGTGCGAAGTGGAACACTTAAAGCATGTCTGAGACTCCGGGGCTTGATCGTTGCCCAATTCTTCAAACTACATGGTAAGCGGCTCACAGAACGCCGCCTGTTTTTCCAACCGTGGCGAGTTCATTTTGCGTGTGTTTTCTCAAGGATTTGCGTCTGGGTCCTTTTTTTTGACTCTGTTAAATCCTGCGACAAACTACTCTATCAATATCCACATTGCATGGTTTGCCTGAAATTTTGTTTTTTTTAACCCTCCTTAAATGATTATCTAAAAATTGGAAAAACACCATGGGCATATTATGATGATCCATTGGAATTCGCAGTAGCCTATCACTTTCCTGGCTTTTTCAGAGGTAGCGCCTCAGTTGGCGAGGCCCCGTCTCGGGCTGCGGCCACCCAGTGTTCCATGCTGCGCAGGGCCCCATCCACGTCCGCCACGAGCTGTAAACACTCCTCAGACATCCGCCGAGGACGCGGTATAGGACCTCAAAATGTGGTCATATTGGTCATATTAGATTTATATTAGATTTATATTAGATTTATATAGATTTATATAGATTTATATAATATGAGTTAGGACTTCAACCATCCAAAATTGAACAACGTTTAGGATCATTTAGGTATATTTAGTTTGATTTCGAACATTATTTGGCTATAGCCATACATAGCTATGCCCATTTCCTGAGCAGAGGGACTGGGTTAGCCTCATGCCTGACACCTTCCGAGGTCTCTACTTGGTGTTTGATTATAGGCTGGAATGGTTGGAACTGTCCCTATATTCATCCTGGTAGATGGCCCCAAAATCACAAAACTATGAACCAACATATACCAACATATACCAACAGAGTCAACTTCCTCCACGCCTTCTTCCAATATAAGATGACATGAGTCAAAGGCTTGATCATTCGTCTGTGCTGTGCATGCTCCGCCGCTCAGCAAAGCCTGGGGCCGTGGTGCCAGGCTTTGCTAGGGAATGGGTACCCCAACCTGACGAACATGCCTCCACTCCAATATGGGTTTGGTGGACTTCTATCATGAACATTCATAAACCCAATTCCACATCCGCTCCGTTCAGGCTGCAAACTTCAGCAGGATCTAAAATCTAACTCATAGACTCAAAGATTACTCATAGCATTCATAGCATGTTGCCGTATGTTGCCTGTTGCATTTCAAGAATTGAGCTGCAGGGACCCATTCTCTTTGTCGCGGTGTTGCTGGAGATGCCATCAGCCCCCCACGGAGCGGTACCGTCACTGGAGGTTCCCACCGATCGACCGGTTCAAGCGATTCCAGCGTGGTGGGCTCTGTCGGCCATTGAGTTTGGGCTCCTGTCCATGGGAAGCCCAAAATATCCCAAAATGTATGGCACCAAACTATTCTCAGGAATCAAAGCAAACATGATCAAACTATATATATATATCAAACTGATGTAGTCTCGAGGACTAGATGGCTGACTGGTTCTAGACATTCTAGACGCAATGCTGTCAGCATTTGTCAACCATCTTGCGATATCTTGCAATGCCGCTTCTTTTGTTTGGCTCTGGTGGGTAGCTGTCAAGACATGTCAAGACCATCTCAAGACTCCAGACAGATTCTGGATATTTCCGGAGTCCTGGACTCCACTTCTGGCGACCTCCCATAGCCAGGGCAGCACGATATTCAGCACCACATTGGAGTGGCGATGGTGTGAACGGCCAATTCCTTGGGCTACAGCGGCTACAACCGTCGGACTGAAAAGCGATAGCTGTAACAAAAAAAACACTGCAGCTGATGCTGTCCTCTTGTTGTACCATGCTTGAGTCATCTCTACCACCTTTCATCCTATTCTCAGTGTTCGAACCAAGACCTTGAGAGACAGATAGAGACAGTAGGCAAGTTGGCAAGTAAGCCTCTGGCTTTTTGGGATGCCAGTCATCGATACAAGAGGGACCATTAGAGGATCATCTTTAATCAGCATTAATCATCTTTACCCACCGGCATCCTTTTGTTTGCTGAACCGTTCTCACTTCTTGACATAGAATATTCAGCTGGGTGCCCCAGTGTCAAATGTGCCAAGATGTGCCAAGCTTCAATTGCTGAGGTAAGGATGGCAATGCTGGAGGTTTCTGCACAGCAGGCAGCTGGCGTCTGACCCGACCACGCGCAGCATCTGGAGTCTGTCCTGCATCACTGACGTTTCAAAATGTTTCAAACTGGCGTGAAGTGCAGCAATTCAGCAGATAAGTTTTGATAAGTTGCGGTGCTAACCGCTGACCTGGCCATACCTAAAGGGTGACAGTGGCAAGTCATGGCAAGTCATGTCCTTCATCAGGTGCTTCGCTCAGATCGTTCAGATCGTCAGGTCCTCAGAAAGGAGGGGAGCTGCACCATCAACATCTTCAAGGGGCAATGGCAAAAAAAGAGACTTGTTCTTCTATTTGCACTATTTTGCACTAGCATTTGCGAACATTGGAGTCTCAATTTTCCAGTGCTGTTCGCAACAGAAACGAATCTCTCAGAGTTATGAATGGATATGTCTATAAGCCAAAATTATCCAACTATATATCAGGGTTTGCCAATTGCCCCTTTGTCTGATTAGTAGTAAATACATACATACCGTTACACAATGACCTCCCACAAAAAGGATACAATGTTCTTGCCATGTATCCGGTTGTGTCATCATCATGCCGACTCTCCACAAAGCGTGATTGGAGTTGCCTTGGGAATCACAAGCGGCAACTGAAAAAAGCCAGCCCAGCACCCAACGATGTCAACTTGGTAGAGATCTTAAAACCCAAAAAACTGGTGGCAATTCCCTACTAGATTGTTGACAAATCTTCTTTGCCGGACCTGAGGATCCACTCAAACCTTTGACCAGCTGAGGATGCACTCGTATTCGTTGTATTACAGTTGCTTGACTGCAAGCCGTTTGGAGCCTTCTGGGGCTCAGCGCACAATTTATTGTTGCACTATTTGGATCCACTTGGCGCCTGCAACGTGATGGGACATAGTAAGTGCAACCAACAACAAAAATCGCAAACATGGGGGTTGGTCCCCCTGTTTTTCTTCGTTCAAAGCTGAGCCACTCTTCCAATTCTTGCAACTTTTCCTGCACGTTTTGCCAGTTTTGAAAGCCCATTTCGGCAGCAAGCTCGTCCGGGCAACTGTACGAGGGCTTTTGTCACCGGCTCCATTGCACTGGCAAATATGCACCCTAATCTGATCTAATCTGCTTGCTAAACTCTGGTGTTTGTTCGAAGAATTAAAAAAGCACGGAAGCTTGTCCCTAAGTTGTCGCCTGCAGGGCACTCCAACAATTCTGCTTCGCAGTCACATAGACCAACATGGATAGCGAATGATAGCGCTCTTTCTCGGCATCATTCGGCATCTCATGAACCAAAGAAACATGATGAACCATTCGATGAATCGTGCTTTGTACACTTGGGGCCCATCCCCGATTTGGGGCAATCCTCTGGGCCAAGCTGCCAAAGATGTTTTTTCGCATTTCGAGGGATCTTCAGAACTGAACGCCCTGGTGGGAACATGTGGGAACCCAATGGAACCCACACACAATCATATTAAAATATCATTTCTGCGTATTTTGGTCATTGCAATCTGGCGGGGGGGGGCTGGGGTTCGACTCAGGGGAGCCGTTGCAGTAAATCTTTCAGCACAGCTCCTCAGCGGGCTGGCGCTTCCTTGGTAGTCAAGCCCCTGTTCAACATGTGACGGTACCTGAGAGTTAAGTTGTGAACATATCGCTTGCAGACACTGGTTGGTGTTAAGATTGAGATGCTGCCGAATTTGGAATGTAAAAGTAGTAAAAGAATCGCATAGAACCACTTGGTTTTGAAGCTGACAGTCAAGACATGTCAAAGCAGTCGATGGTAATCTAAAGTTCCGTCAGCAGCTGAGGTCCCCAACCTGTGTTTCCGGAAGTCCAGCTTTTCACGGTCACAGTAGTCGAGGTAAGCCTCAGGCTGGAGACCCTTGTGATATCTTGTGATGGTGATACATAGTGATACCATTGATGGAACAACTGTGGCACCCATCTACTTGAGGATACAACAGCCAAGAGTTAGTGGAACCAGGACTCAACTTGTCCGATCAGGTCTCTGCCGTTTACCTCATTGGTTTATCAATGGATATCCCAACAATCGCAATTTTGACAAACAAGAAGATCAACATTGATAAATCCATATAAATCCATATAAATCCATATAAATCCTGTGATTGGGGGGTTTCAGATGGTTTCAGATTCCGAGATCAGGCCATGCTTTGATTGGGAATCGCTTGCGAATTTCTTGCTTCTCGCCTGCACGGTCTGCACATGTTGTGCATGGGAGACCAGCAGGGGATCGTGATAGAAGGCGCGGTCCTGAAAGTGCTGCAGAATCTGCCCCACTGTGAGCTGTGCCCCGCCAATGAATGGAGTTGATTGATCCAATTACAGCCAGTTATGTACAGTAGCGAATGCCAGGATAATCAAAGTTCCGCAAAGTGGTTTTTGAGAAAATATTGAAAGCAGAACCCCGAATCCTACAGTTTCATTCAATCAAACCCAAATTGCTTGTTCTTGAGACAGCTAGCGGCGCCGACCGTGCACATCTTCGCAGTGGTTTTGAGTCATGTCCCCGGGTCAGGGAAGCCGCTGAGGTAAGATATCTAAGCCTTTCAGGATCTTTCAGGCGTACTTTACAAATCTTTACAGAGTTCCAGAGTTCCTCAAAGATGAGCTGTACATGACCCTACCATCCCGTTGCAGTGTATTCCGTATGGCAGCGTCTACGATTGTATCATTGTATCACTAAGATTTGAAGATCTACAGTATTCTACAGTCGATAGAATTCCTCTATTGAAATGATCCAATGGAAAGAGCCATAGCTTGGCCGCTGCAAGGGACTCAGGTCAACATCATCTCTTGGCAGCATAGCTGCTATAGCTGGTGTCAACCGCCATGACCAGAGATGACCAGGGCCATGGTGTTAGTCTCACACAAGCGTTCATTCATAATCAGCGTTTGGAAAATTAGCATCATAAAAGAGCTGATGGTCTGATGGTGTTGGTTTGAAACATCTTCTAGTAGAATCTTCTTAGTATATCTTACTAACTGAAATCTAACTGATATCTTAGTATTATTCAGTATTGATCCAACTGTTTTGAGAGCTATTCAATCTGATGCGATATGATGCACAGCCTCACAGAGCCATGGCCCTTCGCCCCTCGTGGCTCAAATCATCCTCGGTGCCTTGCCCGACGCAATTCACCTGTGGCACTGGCCGGGCTAGCAGATGTGGGACAAGCCACAGTAATGCCTATGAACAAAAAGATACGAAAAAGATCAAAAAAGGCTCCTTTTATGACACCAATTCTGCCATTCATTTGCATTGCTGAAACATGAATGGGTAATATTCCTGGCAGCAAACATGTGAACTGGAGCTAGGAAGAAGGGGATCAAAAGCCACATTCTGACCAGGATTCTGGGGCAAAAAAACCAACATCAACAAGAATTTTCGGAATCATTGGCATCCCTGTAAGGTGACCATCATTCTCCATGGAATCTCATCTGCAATAGCCTCACAGTGGTTGGCCGGAAAGTCTGGAGGCGTCTGATGCACTTTGAAGGCTTGTGCCTGAGGCAAATGGCAACGGCAGCCATTACAGGGTGCGCTGGGAATGACGCTTTGATGTTCACCATGCATTTTCACCCACAGAAAGGGATTGTTTCCTCAGTTGTGGATAGACATTCAATGACATTCACTGCTTCATGCGGACCCTTCAGTCTTTCTCGAAAGCCTGTGCTTGGACATATGCAGCGTTCTTTTCACAGAAAGGAACTGCAGGGATGTAAAACACCTTAGTTGACACCAATGAGCTGGAGCGCGCCCATTAACGTGAACTACCCAAACTATCCAAAATCTAGGTGCGTGTGTGTAATGACATGTAATGACTGGCATCAAAGTCATCCAGCTTGCAGCAACCACCGCCTGGATGTTGCATGGCGAGACCATTTTCCTTCACAGCTCCACAAGCCTATTTCACAGTATTCAAACCATTTCAAACCAGCCCACTACAGATTGCTTGTGTAACTTATGTATAGTATATTATATCATATATATATATATATATAACATTATATAACATTATATAATATTATATAATATTATATAATATTCTTATTTGGATCCAATCCGGACAACATTGCCCCAGTCTCAAAGAAGACAAGTATCTGCTGCATCTTCGGACCCACCATGTACGCCCTCCACTGCATGGATGAGATCACAATGCCACCATACTGTATCACCTGGCACAGCAACAAACAGTTGGATCTGGCAAGATTCCAGAATCACAGCATATGGCAGACGACATAGCTGATATTAGCTGATATTAGCTGATCATGTTTTGGACTGCAACCATCCCACTTGCGGGCTGAATGACATTCTGTGAATGGATCGGAATGGGTATATACGGTATATACGGTATATACGGTATACGGTATATACGGTATATACGGTATACTGGCGGAAGCCCGGATTTTTATTTCCAAAGACTTTCATTGACCTTGCGAATCCCGTCTAATGTCTAGGAATACCTGGAGCCCATATAGCCTTAAGAGGGTGGGTTAGTTTTGGGTCCCACAATGATCTCCGAAGGGGCCTGGCTGGACATCTGGGATGGGCACCAAGCAGTCAATCAGCTGCTGATGGAACTCTGGAAATAGATCCTCCAGGCAGAACTCAGGTCACGCAAGCCACAAAGCCGCGGCAAATCCATTGGTGCGTGCATGATTACTGCGATATCATATCCAGGGAACCATTCCAACCCCAGATTCTGCATTTGGAACTTCGTTGAAGTCCAACATCCAACAGGCTTTAGCCCAGCTCTTCATATTCCCTGCCTGGACCTTTCCAGGATTCGCTCCACAAAAGCTGGAGGGCAGCACGTCCTGTCTCCCCGCGCTGGCACTTGTTTGGATGGGGCATTAAATTGAATCAACTTGAAATGAATGGACAAAGAATGAAAAAAGTAAAATAAAGTCACATCTGCCTTCGTTTTTTCTTGCTGTGTGGGAACCCCGTAGCAATCGCCTCCATGAAGGGTCTGAGCATCAAATATGCGGTGGCCTGGGCAGGGTGCAATCATCTGCATCCAGCTGCCATTTTCTAACTTGTGCACAGAGCCAGGCATTCCAAACACAGCATACTACACAGTTCGAACGCTAAACTTTCCTGGAACCAGGTACTACTTCGAGATCTGGCGGTCCATGTAGTTCGACTGTGCGCACACGATCGATACTCAGAGTTATGGGCACCCAATTAAATCTGAGTATATAATATGAAGATTTTGAACTGAGTACTGGGCCTGTCGTTTCTAGTTTCAATCAGTTCCAACCAGTTCCCACACATCTGGCCTCCCGCAGGATGGGCGCCAGGAGCAAGGCTCCCCGGCCTTGCCCTGCAGAAGTCAAGGACAGCCATCCCTGGAAGGAACGGAAGATGCTACCTGTCGGGTCACAGAATCAGCTATGCCTTGGGTATGTGTCCAAGGATCGTTGAAGCCTTCAAAGTATGTGGCCCCTCCCCCACACAATCTCATATCTTCTGAAGATATGAAGATGAAGAAGGAAATCATAGAAATCAAGAATTTGAAAGTGTCCCAAGTGTCAACTATATAATCGGCTTCCCAACTCCCAATTTTTTTATCCAGGAGGCAGGCGCCCAAGTTTTTGCCATACCTCACCAGGAGGTTTTGCTGATCATCACAGGGGGCTGTTTGGAATCTTGCCAGGCAAACATGGGGAGATAGCTGATTTGCGGTGCCAACAAAGCAAACAAAACATGCAGAGCAAAAGAACCCAACAAAATTAAGACCCTTACACTACCTTCAGGCCATCTGAAGTCTGCAAGCATTTCGTTCTACACCGAAACGACGTGTACAAAGAATGCAGGACGACTCTTTTCCTCAACAAAGAAAAACACAGGCAACCTGCGGCTCAACTCCTTTAGAAGTCGAAACATCTCCTTTCTCCCCGTACGCTATCTTTGAGTACTTTCAGGATCTCTATCATAATGTTTATATTCTATACACTTACTATGTATTTAATGTGTTACATTACGTTATATTCTCTCCACACACACATATCACTTTCGATCAATATTTCTACTGGCAAGCATCTGTAAGGGGGACTGGTTTTCAGCCCATGGCATGTCAACAAGATCCATGGTACATCCGAAGTATCAAAAGGTTTGCTTGAGATCTCTCTACAACCTGATCTAGATTGTGCTGATCGTGCAGTGCTTCTCAACGAACATTCTGCAAAGAATATGGGTAGGGCCTCGGAATAGACTCCAAAGTTTTCGCTTTTGGAACTACCCTGACAAATGGAATGAGTGCTGACCCCCTTTCCATAGCCTCATCAAAAACCAGAAAGACGCATATCCATTGGCCCCACTCCCCCATCCTCTTAAAGAACTAAACTAATCATTAACTATATAATATCCTTTTTTTGTGGATTGGTTAATCATTAGCTAAACTAATCATTAACTAATGGATAGCTGCGGACTGTGATCACCACTCGTCCCGCAACATCCACAGCTCCAAGCTACAGGTCATAGCTGGCGCTGGCTCGATGCGTGGCATCAAAGGCGTCATAGTTCTCCCAGCGTCCCTGGAAGATCTCGCCTTGGTCAATGGCCATTTAAGAGGAACCGATTCATTGGAGGTACAAGTATATCTACCATATATCTACCATATATAAGGCCTATTTTTTAGGCCTCTGTAAGGGAATATCCCCAGAAAATCTCATATGGTACTAACGTACCTCCATTTTAGGATCCTGAAATTCCCATTGACTTGGTGCGAAGCAAGATGCGAAGCAAGATGCGAAGCAAAATGCTACAAGGCTAGTCATTTTGCTCTCCGAATCATGACATGACATTGGGGAACTATGCCAGGTCTCATTATCCTGCCGCCGACAGTTGCGTTCCCCCTGTCTTTACAGGCTGGCAGCATCTGGCAGCTATGTTCAGCTACCAAATGCTATCAATGTTCAGGCAGAGGCCATACTACACAAGTCAGCTTCTCAACTGTTTTCATCAGCTCATAACACTCTGGGGTTTGAAGATGCTTTGATTTGTTGGTTGGTTGGTTGGTTGGTTGGTTGGTTGGTTGGTTGATTCGCTTGTCCACATTTGTCCATCATGTTCGCCATGTATGATCACCGCCAGGTGACGATAGACCTTGCGATACTCAGCATCTTCCCAGCGCTCTGTACTGCCACCATCCACATGAGGCCCTAGAGTGAAGCTGCTGTCTCCCGCCTACCGTGAAGGCACAACAGAAACCGCAACAGCATCCAAACAGATGTGTATTGGCAGGTCGAAGTGGTGCTTTTTGGGGTGGATTGGGTGACCCTTCATTTTGAGAATTCATAGTATGAGCATGTCCGAGCAACTTGGAAATGAACAGTACAGAGCCTGAATTTTGCTCAGGTAGAGGAGGTAGAGACATCCCAAGGCTGAAACTGCTACAAGAGCAAGAAGATAAAAGTTGGGAAAAGGAATTGTGGCTATGCTATGGCTATGCCATGGCTAGGTCCATGGATTCCTATGCCGTTCCCATCCCAAAAACCCGCCTTTCGTATTCGCAAGCGATCGCAGTAGGTCAACGGTCTGTCCACATCCACCTGGTGGGTGGAGTGCTATCAAGGCTCCATGGTCAGTTCCACAGTTGATGTCTCTTGAAGATCTTGAAGAGCGCTAAAATATACTAAAATTACCAGCTGGTGGAGAAAATCAATCTTATCTTGACATGATAAACATGATAAACCATGATAAACCTGTCAACCGCCTCATCACTCGCGGTAAAGACCAGAAGCAGAAGCAGTCACTGTATGTTTCCTGGAGTAAGTGGGCCATCTCCCACAGAATATGAGTTTGTCAATAGGGTAACCTCCATTCCAATGGATTATGGTAATTTACCCTACAGTAAGATGATGTAAAAATATGTCACATGGGCTATCTGCGGGTATCCCCAATTTTCAGACACACACATATTGGACTGATGTTGAACTGTTCACTGAATCCCACCATGCCAAGCGATGCCAAGGCACTTCATGGTTCTCGCAGTGCCAGAGGCGATTCAGAGCTGTCTGTGTCGCCAGCATGTTGGGATGTTCGCGCATCCTCCTGGGCCACGTTGCGGCACATCATGCTAATTCAGCCGGAAATATCAGAAAGAAACAAACCATATCAAACCATGAATGAGAGCTACATAATTGGACACTTGGATGTGGTACAAAGATTCTGACTTACATTCGCAACATGTACACATACATGAAGTGTTATACTGCATGGAACTATATAGATCTATATAGTATATATGATTATATTATATATATACGTGATTCGAAGTCTCACAAGATCTCACAAATTGCAACAATTTCTGAGGATGGTCGAAGTTGGCTGGGGCTCACGCTTTGAGAATATCCCATTCCCGGAAATGTCGGACCCATGGTGATGGTGCAGTTACTGGAAGTCAGCTGGTTTGTATTCGCCAGGTACTAATACTATACTACTTCTAGCCCAGCGTCTTATCCTAAATGTTTAGGACCGCAGAGGAATACATAAATGCAGATCGAGGAATCATGGCTTAAACTCCTGCGCACATCCCCCATCACACAGCGACCAGTACAGATTTCAGCACTATTTAAAATTTAGATAAATTTAGCGGGTCCAAGAGTGCTTTGACTTACAATCAGCAAAAAGTATCAAAAAGTCAGCTATAGCTACAGGCATCCTCAGCCGGCATGAACCACACGGCCCTGTTGACTTGTGCCGTGGCTCATCTGTTCTTTGCACCAGTAAACTTCCCATACCATCGGTTGATCACGAGGAAAGCCTATCCTTACAACGCCAGGACAGGTTCAACATGTTTCCAACCCAGGGGGTGTGTGAAACTGCATTGGAGCGAAATTCGGATCCACGAAACCTTGGATGTCACTTGGGTTTCACGAAATTCCCCCCAAATTCACATGGACCCAGGCACAACTTTTCACGATTCGCAGCAATGTACCTGAGAGCAGTGGAGTCAATATATAGTCATTCGCCATCAGCCGAAAGCGACTTTCCCAGCTTTTTTGCATCCCCAAACGGTTCACCACAGTGGCTACCAATTTTCCAAGTTGAAAGTGACTGAAACAGACCATTTTGTGATACTGCTGTCTGCTTGATTTCTAGCGCAATTAGTTAATTTATTTCAATGTTATGGCATTCTCATGCACATTGTTACAAACCCCAAAAGAAGACTCAAGAATCAACATAAGCACAAAATCCATCAAAATCCTTGCACCGCGTACGTATTGCATGACATCTCATGACATTGACCAGTAACCACCCAGGAAAACCATCCTCTGTCGACAAGATGCTCTTCAGCAGCGCCTTTGGCTGAAATGGCTTCTTCGCTGGGCACGACGTTTCGAACCACCACGCACCCTCCGGCAACAGCTCTGGTCCGACAAGGAAGAAATGATTGAATCTGACCCAAGATCTGCGCTTGCATGTGTGGGGAAGAAAAGTCACGGCTCTCCAAACTTCTCTAGTGACTAGTGATGACTAGTGACAAATTTGTGGGGATCGCTGTTTGAAGAAGCCATACACACTTGACATCACTTGACATCACTTGACCTAAGAATCCACTCCGGTGACTTGGCCCAGGCTCCTCTTTTTCGGATCTGTTCTGCTACAGATGTTGGGAAAGAACCATCGACTAGCTCGGCAAAGTCCACCTGGGTCGGAGGCAGGAACCAAAGCCAAAAGGTTGTCTGGCGACTTCTGTTGGCCCAGAAACTTGGACAGGTGGACATTTCCAGGTGCTCTGGCGTCCATGTTTCGATCCATTGACATTTCGGGTCCTTCCCATCGAGCCTTGGGCACAGCATCGCTTCCCAAGCTGCGAAGCTCTGCCGATTCCGCAGCCACAGACTGCTGCAGCCTTTCCCAGGACGCGCGCAGTACATCCGGCGATGGACGGATTCGTTCCTCTTTCAGGGCGGATTCAGCACGTGTGGAGCGTGCTGATTGTTGGGTTGGCGACTTGTGGCAACTTGATCACAGAACCCGACTGAACTTACACCAGGCCTTGGACCTGCAAATGAATTGGTGCTTGGAGCAGTACTTCAGTACTTCATTCAGTTGACTTTTACCAAATCTCAGGTGTCTGGTGTCTTCTATTAAGCATTTTTCCAATAATTAGCATGGCAGCCACACGGGGTAAACACCACATGAGCAACAGCTCCTTCAACTCGCCATATTCAGAGCTCAACTCAGCAGCTGGTGCCCCCAAGGAAGTGAAGAGGTCACCGATAGAGCCCAGGGCTCCTGCTGATTCTGATCTAATGAGCCTTAGGCCTTCGCTGGTGTCTGCAAAATCAGGTCATAAATGACGTAAAAATACCACTATTATAGTGGTTAATAGTGGTTAATAGTGGTATAAATGACGTAAAATGTAATAAGAAACCGGACTTGCAGAGAAGCTCGAACGCCTATCGGCACAGATTGTCGCAAAGGGAGTCATCAAAGATGACTTAGAGATTTAGAACCGCTTCTTAGATGGAACTGACATCTACTTCCAACATCCACCACTTTCGCAGAGACATCTCCCTCTCCTGGCATCTTTGTGGAGTCTGAGATTGAACGACAAAAGCTGCGGCAGACACAACATGACACAACCATTGGAACCGATTGTAACCATGCCAGTGAATAGGTCTCCCAAGATTGTTGCATCCCAGTTGCACATTGGTTTCTGCTGATTTCCATGGTGGTTGCTCAAGTACACCAGGAAGTCTATGAATCGCCCTGATGTGGCCCGCAATAGTGCTTGTAGACGTTGTAGAAATCCCGGTTCAAACGATTTAATCTTGAAAGGGCTACATACATGGTTAAAATATGTTAAAATATATTAAAATTGAGACTTCTATATAATATATATATAATAGATATATATATATATAGGAATTCTCAAGTCTTGAACACACCTGGCCCGCTGCAAATCCTGTGCTGAATTCACCCAATTGCTGGGCTCTACAGTCACCTGGCAAAATCGCTTCCGGGGCGGGGGCCATGTTGTTCTTCTCGCAACCTCGATGATTTTTTGGATTGCGTTACGAATCGTTACGTTTGAAATGGTTTCCCTTCCCAAATTAGAGTAGTTTGATGTAGTTTGGAGATTCTTTGAGCCTCCTGCAGAAGAACATGGTTGGGAAAATCACCGATTTGTAGATGATTGTTCCATCCTTAGTGGTTCTCATGATCTTCCATGGTGTTTAGATTATCAGCACCTCAAGGCACTCGACTTGCAGTGCATTTCTCCGGCCCATAAGCCTCCATCAAGGAAATGCAAATCCGTGGACCTGGGGATGCTGGACTGGAACAGAAATGGCCCTGAATGGCACTTGTTTCATCCTCACCAAGACGCTTATTTGTCAATTGGAATACCCAATCTTCATCAATCTTCCACCAAAAGAGAAGGATGAAAAGCTGAACACTCGCACAACGGACTGAGGCAAACATACCTGTGGGGTTTTGGGGTACCAATTTGTGGGCCCTTCTCGCTGGGTTGCGTAGCTTGGCACCCTAAACCAACATTGAAACCTAAACCGACCCTAAACCGACCAATCCAACCAATCCAACCAACCCGGAAAAAAATTGAAACCCTGGACCGCCTGGACCATCCCTGAACACCTTGAACAGGAGGCAGCACCAAACACGAGAGAAAGTCAAAGCGTTGCATCACAAAAGGAAATTGAAGCGTAGCTTCTACACATAAACTGTAAACTGTAAACAAGCCAACTTTCGAGAACCTTCCAAACCCAAATAAACCCTAAAACAAACCGAAATAAACCTTAAACGCACCTTACCCTAAAGGCATCCTCCCCAACAGAAGCCCCATGCAGCATTCATGCAGCCATTCAAATCGGATCATAGTAACAGCATTTAAGATATAGCAATGTTACTGTCGAAGGATTCAGATGTCAAACGTAGAAAAGTCGAAAAAAGCCAAAATGCCAGGAAGAGCTGGAAACGCCGAAAGAAAGAAGCCCAAAGGTCGAAAAATGTAAAAAATGCTAAAGTGACCTTGGGAAAAGCTACAGAAAGGTAAAGAGGAAGAAGTTGAAAAGTTGAAAGACGAAAATCTCGAGAAGACTTTTTTGACTTCTTGACTTTTTGCGAAAAGTTTCGCGACTTTCAAGTTGTGTTGATCCCGAGCCTGCGGAGCCCTTAGCAAGTTTTGACCTTCAGCATCCTTCAGCCATCCCGTCGGTTGTAACACCATTCCCCCAAATGTCCTGCATCCCAAAAAAGATGCTGACAGCTAGGTGACTTAACCCCTCATGCACAATATAGATTTTATAAATCAAAATAGGTCAATATTAAGCCCAACCACAGATTTTTGCTTTCCTTTTTTTGTAAGCCATCCTAGTTAAATCATTTTAAATCCCATTCTGACCGTTGAGATGATCAAATCTCCATTTAGCTTCGTTAAATCAAAATTTGTTGCTTACGTAAGTTAAGGTACCCACCTACAGCCCTAACGAGGCGCTTGGGGTACCGGGCTATGAAGCTTGGCAGAAACTTCCGAGAAGGCCTTGGGGCTTTAGATGCTCAGGACTTCCTGGTTTCATGCAACCATTGGATCAATGGAACGTTTTAATGATCCCCGATTCCATCATGTGCGCGGTGATATGGGCCATTGGAATCCATTGATCTGTGGATATCTGTGGAATGTGTTGACATCATTTAAGACATCTGTCTGGGTCTCTTTTAAGGGCTGTGAATTCCAAGCTTTCAATCTTGGTTTTGCTGACACCGGAGCTCTGCTGGATCTGCCAGCCACTAGGCACGCAACCCGTCGGAAATGTCCAGCCACCTGTGGATAGCGGTCGTTGCGAATCATTCGATGATTCACCAGGTTTCCACACCATGCTTTCGATGCTTCTCACACGTCACAAATATTCACAAAGCAAGCCACCAAGTATGTTAGAAAATCCTAGAAAATCTATGAGCATATCAGAATTTCATTGCTAACTTTGGATGTCCTTTGATGTCTGGTACCTTTTTGCCTAGTTCGAGCCTGGCTCCTTGGTTGGCTGCCATAGGCCGCATATGGATCCAGCAGTAGCCATGTGTGATGAATGCCTGGCGCGATGCCCCGTGGAGGGTAAATCTCAAGATCCATCGCAGGGTAATTCCCTTCCAATTCAGGAGCAATTGCGCATGACCCAAATGTTATGAGTATGCCACTGCGGATTCTTTACAGGAAATTTTACCAAAGCCTACCTATCCTTTGGGACATGTCATGACATGTCTAATTGGATTCTAATTGTGCATCTTGGGGTCTCTAGATTTTATATATATATATATATGATTTTATCAGGACATCGCCGACTTCTTCCTCCTGCTCCTTCTCTGCTTGCTCGCCGGCTTCTCACCAGCATGTCATCGCCAGCTTGTGCGCCAGCCTCCTCGAACACAGCCATTCTAACGCGACTTCGCCAGCCAGATAGAATGCAAAATGGCATGGCAAATTCTAATGTCAGATAGACTGCCAAATAAAATGGCAGATGAAATGCAAGAACATATATGTTTACTATGATAACATGTGAAATAAATGTCAGAATACATGCCAGAATAGAATGTCAGATAAGATGCCAGATAGAATGCCAGAATATATGTCGGAATAGAATGTCCGATAGAATGTTAGATAAAACGTCAGACTAGATGTTAGAATATATGTCCTACTAATGTCAGATGAAATGTCAGATAGAATGTCAAAATATATGCCACGGATTGCCACGGTACGCCACGGTGGAGATCACTCGAAGAATACATTTTTCCCGACAAAAAACAGTATTCTGTGTCTTTGTATATTATACAGTGGTTGGACTTTGCAACACCGATTTCTATTGTGCGACAATATGTCGCTGCGCCAACCCTTGCAAAAAATGTTCCACATCCTTCGGCTCCTTGAGCCCGAAGCGTTGTTGGATTGCTTCTAACAAAGGTAGACCCGGCAAAAGAGTGTCATCCACAAAATCAAAATCTCCGTGATCCACGTGCAAGCTGACCGAGTCCGGCATTCTGTAGTGATGCACGATGGCGACTGAAAACCGAACAAGCGTTGCCTACTGCATACCTATTCTAGTCAACGCCGCCGCACTCTCCTGAGCTGCTGCCTCACAGCCTTTCAGTTGCGTGTCTGTTTTGTGCATGTTGCAGAAGTCATTGTCAATGAGCTTGGCCACATTGCAGGGGAGCGTTGTCAACTCTGGCGAGGAGCCTACACCTCGTCAGAGTCGACGGCAGTGGACAAAAAGATACAAAAAGGTTCCAAGAAGGCCCTCCACCATCACACACAAAACACTTGCAATAAGCATGCAATAAGCGGCCGCTTGTGCATCACCGCATCTCACCACATCACCATGCAGGCTGAAGCAAACACCCACCTCTTTTCGATAGTGATAAACAAATTGCTGCAAAATAGGGGCTGCGCACAAACAGCTGAACGTGCATTGTCCCAAGACTTCTTTGGTAGGAGGTCCAAAGGCCAATGCTTGGTGGCCATTGGACCCCTGTGACCACAGCCTTCGGATGTTCATGGCAGTTTGTGGCTGTTGGCAATGCTGAATGAGAACTGAGTGCAACACGAAGACCTCAACGGCTTTCTGGACACGACCCAGTTGGGGTTCCGAAACATTACGTCATGTTCCGAAACCCCAACTGGGTCGTGTAACGGAAGAGGAATTGACTTCGCCGCTTCCATGGGACAGGGTGAGAGGGCATCCTTCATCAAAGACTTCAACACCGTGGATGGACACTCTGCGAGGTCAACGCGTACGATGCGTTCTGGAAAGTCATGGATAATCTTTGTCGTGGCCGTCGACTGCTGGCACCCTGAGCACGGACAAAATCTCCAAAATCTCTATTTTGTTTGCAACCGCTCGAGCAAAACGAATCCTTTGCAAAGAGAGGCTGTGAACTTGGAGAGTTTGTAGAATTTCGTCCCAGGCCGTGAATAAACAATGTACTCGTCAACATCGATGCTGGTAAGCAACCACCGCGCATGATTTTTGGCCCGAAACAAACAATCGTTTGATGTTGCGTGGGGGAATCCTTCGGATGAGAAGTGCACCCTGGTTGCCAAACAGACGTCCAAATACTTTTTGTAGGTGTCCTCTACACGTAAATCCCTGCCAGCCATCGAAATTGTAGAGCAAGAAATGTTCAATGCCGTGCAGCAAAGACCCTTCCATCCACTCGATCAATTGCTTAAACACACCGTCATGTCCTTGCCATTCATGTTGTGGTGCAGGATCATCAATGCAAAAATATCTCGAACACATGCCATCGTCTTGAATTGCTGATGGAGCATATCTGGCTCTTGCAATGCCACCACGCTGCCCACTTTTTTCCCAGATGCATCCTCCAAGTAAATGGGATGTTTTTTTGGGCGTGTTCTTCGACAGGCCAGGGACACAACACTGTTACGAAATTTTATCTTTGACAAATGTGATCTGGCTGGCCCAGTGCAAAACAGGGCTGCGGTATTCATGCGACACCACCTGAGCCCTGAGCGGATCATTGGAATCATGCCGCCACACGACTCTCCCACCACTCTTCATCTCTCTGAGCAACGCATGTAGCTTCTATCTGCTCATGTCTGCTCCGAACAGTGGCACTGCACTGAAAATTGAAATTTGCATCGGCTCAGGCTCAGCGCCAGTCAAATCAGTCAATGAAATATGTTGCACCGGCTCCACTCTGGCCAAATCCCGTGAACTTTTCCACTCCTTCATGGAAAGCAACTAGCGTGATTTGGAGCAGGCGAGAGTTGTCATCGTGCGAATTGCCATCAAGTTGGGTTGAGATTCCGCCGAGACAAATGCTGACAGAAATCAACCAAGCAAAGCAAGGGAGACTCATGACAGAGACTGAGATTCGTGAAATAGAAATAGTAATTCGGTTTTTGAGCATGGAACCTTGCAAGCATCATAAGCATCAGCATATTATATCATCCTCTGTCCCCCCTGTCCCCCTGCACATCAGCTGTGGATGCTTCGAAAGATCAGGTCGGATCAAGAATCTTGGTTTCATAAATCAGCAGGCAACGATGCGTCTACGTATTCTACGTGCCTGCCATCAACAGCATTGCAAGGAGTTCCAAACGTGTTTCACAAATTTGACAAACGTCACTGATTTGGGGCTAATCAGGCTAATCATAATCCCCATATGCCGGGATATTTAGAGACCCCTTTTTAGAGGGTGCAAATCCCCGTTGCCATCCGTTGCCCAGTTCGATTGGGGCAGGTCAACATTGAGATGCTGTCACAGCCCGATGGAAGTCGCAAAAGGGCCAGCAGCGCAGGGGCCACAAATCTCCAGCCTCCAGGTGAACATTTAGAGAAAATCATAGAAACCCTATCCCATAGGATCCATGTATGCTATATATGGTAACATTTACTATCAATATACCCCAAATGTTAGCATATATACCATACATGGATCCTATGGGTATGAAACCCTCAAATGATTCAAATGATTCGAATCCAATTTGTCAGTTGCAGTCGGAGTCTGACATGCTCTTTTTTCGACTCAGAAATGCATCAACAAAAGATGTGCAGATAGCATGGCTACAGAATACACGGATGTGGGATGATATGGATACGATGTGGATGGAGGATTGTTTGAACATGTTTGAAGTGCATGAATCAGCACTAGCAGCTAGCAACAGGCGGAATCCAGGCCCCCAGGCATCTCGCGGATTGGTATTGAGACTTGTCCAACAGCCCTATCCTCACAGAATCAGAATCATCGGTCCACAGAGTCCATCGGCTGAATTAAGACTGGCAGAGTTGAATCGGAAATTGTGCCCACACGCTGCCACAACCACAATTAATAATTACCCCCAAATCAATACCCTATCTATATATTTTAATATAAATACTCGCAAAATGCACTTGCACAGTGATTTCAAGTTCTATCTTGGTTTAAGTATAGAACTCTGCACAAGTCAGGTATGATATAGCAAATATGCCTGCCTGAAAGAGCGCACCCAAGAAATCTGTCCGTACCCAGTACAAATCATCTCTACCTATCCGTCCTCTTTACCATTCTTTCCGCGCAAATGCAGAAAGATGCCTCAGCCGCATGGCGTTAGTCGTTCCATATTCCATGATGCATGCCTCCTCTTCATAGACTTATCTTTCTCTCATTGCAAGAAAGCGGACCGGTTCAGATCCTGTCAGTATGTTGCCTGCCACCAGCAAACACCACCGGGCACCGTGAAAGATGCTTGCATCTGTCTCCTGACATTCTATATGCTTTTGTTTTCATGACGGATCAGAATTGCAATCTTAACACAGTGATGTATTATGGTGTCTGCTTTGATCCAAAAGTCAAAAAGTGATATTAACAAGCATTCCCAACTCTAAGGCACGCCCGCACCTGAATGAAAACTGCGTGCAGCTCTGATTCCATTCAGGGTTGGATAGGTGTTGCGATACATGAGAAGTTGGAATATCTTCACTACTAGTAGTGCAGCTAAACGCCGCTCCCATTGATCGTTGCATACAAAATGGCAATTCAAACAGCTTAGCTGCTTAGCCCGTTCCGAGGCACAAATCTTGAAAGCCATCATGACAAGGACAGACATGGATAGATATGGATATAGACCGTTTAAACTTTTATTTACGTCTCGCAAAGGCCACAGCTGCTACCGGGTACCATAGTGACACATAGGGTACCCTTCCAGCACAGTAACTGAGCTGAAAACTTCACCGTCATCCTGAGGCCCAAACGCAAAGAGACGATGCTCTCTCGACCCACCTGGGCAACACCCGAGAACCCAAAGGCAGGGGGATCAAGGAATCCATTTGTCAAGAGTAAGGCCGCAGCACCATCCCATACAGATATTTGGAGGTGTGTCTGAAAATGTCTGAAAATGGCGTGCACCCCAAAATTTCATCATTTTCTCATCATGTTCTCATCATTTTCTCATCATTTTCTCACTCTACAGTATCAAAGTTTGGGCATTCCATTTTCAGACAGATCCACAACATGACTTTTGAAGCCACCCCTCCAACCGTCGGTTGACGTGGCACTTTAAACTTTGCAGGTCGTGCAGATGTCACCGCCAACTCCGCCTGGTTTTTCGGGGCATCCCGGGATGACGGTTGGGATCTGATGATGTATGACATACATCATTTATAGTTACAATAATCAGTCGTGTTATGTCGTGTTAATAATATGCACCATCAGTGATACAATAACCACTAGTGATGTATAATATTCATATTGTATAGTGACGTGATAATAGTACATATAGTATATGATGATAACGATGCTTACAATACCAATAATCTAACATACACCACTGCAGTAACAAGCTGAAGCACAAATGGAGCGCCTCTTGGGTGTGGTTGGTGGCCATACCATAGTAGGACTCATCGGGACTATGCTTAACCTTGGTTTTCAGTGATGTTTTGTGATGTTTTGTGATGTTTTGTGATGTTTTGTGATGTTTTGTGATGTTTTGTGATGTTTTGTGATGTTTTGTGATGTTTTGCATGTGATCTAACTAGTTACAGATAGTTACAGCATCTTTTTCATCAAACATGTCAGAAGTCAGGACTCACGACGGGACACGGCAGGATCTCGGATCATGCCAGGCCCAGCTTTCCGAGGCACTGGCGTTATGCACGCTGTGCAAAGACAACACCTGGGCAGATCAAAAATGCGCGGTGGGGGACTGTTCCAAGAATGGCTGGATTGAAACTTGTCGCATTGTGAAGTCAAAGCGAAACTCTTTGGAAAGGGACTCACTGAAGCTGGAATTCTTGATAAAGAGCTTCAGTGAGCTTCACCACAAACTTGTTTAGCAAAGAACACCGAGTACAAGTGTGAGCTAAAACCTGATATTCATGTGAGTTATACCATACCTGCTGCGACGAATGAATGATATAGTTGGTACCAGACTGTATGTGTCCATTCGCTTGGTGCGAAGAGCGAAAACTGCAATGAAAGTTCACATCCTCTGCTCCTGACAGACATTAAGATCGATTGCTGGTGCTAGAGATGATGACAAACAATTGAACACTTGAGATATCTTGAGACAAACTGCAGCAAAACTGCTCAGTCAAATGCTGCAAAAGATTCCAAATTCTATCTCATCACCCAACCTTCACAATATTTCATAATATTTCATAATATTTCATAATATTTCATAATATTTCCTAATATTTCCTAATATTTCATAATATTTCATAATATTTCATAATATTTCATAATATTTCCTAATATTTCATAATATTTCATAATATTTCATAATATTTCATAATATTTCATAATATTTCATAATATTTCATGATAATCATGGATACCTGGCCTCCTGGATTCATAAATTTGTTCGTCGGTCTGCCCATGCGGCGGATTGTGACCCAGCCACTGCGGACCAGCCCTTTTTTCGTCGAGGATTTCTGAGGCCCAAGACCACTTCATTCAGCGCCATGATGCGACATGAACTTCAATGTTGTCTAGCCAATAGTGATATCTTGTGGGGATTTACTATTAGGCAGCCTACATGACTTGATCATGACTTGATCTATGAATTCATTGCCACATATTGATGAGCCTCGAGGTTTGGTTCCTGCGAATTTTAAAAAAACAAACTGGCTGTCGAATCAACTTACTGCTCATTGAGCATATCACATGGCTGGTTTGATTTCCGTCCAAGTATACGGCCAGAGGAAGTAAACTGTCCCAGTTGGGAAATCTCTCGGAGCCTAATTACACTGTGTCAGTCATCCACAACAGGTTCAACCGTATGTGCGTGGAATAAATCTCCATTTGTATTTATAGATGGTTTACCTATTAAAAATGGTGATTTTCCATGGCTATGTTAAATAACCAGATGGAATAAATCTCCACAACAAGCCAATGTTTTTTGATTTGTTTTGTGCTGTCGGCGACGGCATGGATTTTTGGGCGAATGTGTTCATGCCGCCGAGCAGGTGGTTTTCTGCGGCCAGCCACCATCATCGCACTGAAGTGTCCATGGCATAGGGAATGACTGGTGTGACGGGTCTATGTCACTAAACTAGAAATAACATCACGTACATATGTATATATATATATATACGGTACTGTATATACATGAATAATCATGAAACATACAATGATAATACAATGATGGGAATCGGATCACCCGTAGCAAGGAATAGCACCATCATGAGATATCAGCGTGCACATTGTTAAGCACATCTATGAGCCTCCCCGCGTGTGTTAGAGATTCTGAGTCTTGCAGGCCTTGCAAACCCGGCCCAGACGGAGTGCCTTGATGAGACAGCCTCCAACCCTGGCGGTGTCTTGTAGGAGGCTGACAGGCTGACGTACAAGTAGTCGTGGAAAGTCGTACAAAGTCGTGGAAATATCTGTCCATATGGGGATGGGTCAAAACCCTGGTACCTAGTGAACCCCAAAATAGCTGGTAAATGGATGTTCATCCCCCTAAAAATGGTATGTATAGGTATTGATCCATAGCCATATCTGCACATCATACAAATAGGGATCGGAACCACAACCATCGCAGAATGTCGAAAGTCACCCACCAGAACCCGAGTGCGCCTCCAGAAAGCCTTGAGAGCGCACTAAGCTCGACCAACATGGAAACTGTTCAGTCCAGTCTTGTGTTTCACCATAATTCACCAGCCATGTTCCAGCATATAAATTTCATAATACTTGATCATAATCATCGTTGATCCACATCAAGGAAACATAAGGAAACTATAGCGGATTTCAACTGGCGGTTTGAGTTGACACGATGTTATTGTTGATGGGGATTGATGTTGTCTGACCATCTGCCTTTGGCAAAACTGATGCCATCTTCCAAACTCTGAATTGAGACGTCTGGTCTAGTACTCAAGAATGCCCTTTTGAATCCAAATTTCAAATATGTGCTTGTTCTTGTCGAATACATGGTTGCCAACACATGGTTGCCAACCTCAACCATCTGATTTCTGATAACCGCCTGATTTCAGATTCCTGCACTTGTTGGAAGTGATCTTGCAGACCCTATCAAGCATCACAAACAGTAACAAACTTGTCCTCGCATAGCCTCATCAATGATTTGCATCATGTTGCACTCTCCTTCACCATGCCCCCGTACTCACCATAGAGCTCTGGACCCCGGTCCTCCGGTCACCAGTTTCGTGGCAGCTGGATGCACAAGAGCCGATCATGGAAGCTAATTGGCAGCTAAAAAAAAACATCACACCATATCACACCTGCTTGAGGAATCGTCCAGTTCCGTCCTGTTTCGTTGTCATTTGCCGGAACTCTGCTGCCACTCGATTTTCTCTACGAAGCAATGGATGGTGCTAGTAACGCTAGAGGAGGGGTTCCCGATTCCAAGTGTGTGGAAGATACAGGGAAGACAGCCAGAGATGGCCCATTGATTCCCAAAGAACACGAAGAGTAATATATTATATATATATAATATTATATAATCCTAGGCTTGCTCTATTGCTCAAGAGATACACCACAGAGAAAGCGCCTACATGCGCCACACATGCGTGTGTGTGTGTGTTTAAGTTTGTTTGTTTAGCTATTGGAATAAACTATAGGGCAATCTGCTTGACTGAAAAGGAAAACGGTGTCAAAATGCAACGTCGTCTAAGAAAAACAGTGGGCCTTTGCCCAGCACTAGATTGCATTTATTCCTCAGGTGTCGATCGTCAAATCGAAGGTAGTGTAGAACTTTGCCAGGGGCTACCTGCAAACATCTGGCGACAGTGGAATCACTTTCAGGTCATCCCTGCAGCTTCGCCAGACCGAAACATGAGGACCTGCATATTAAAACATAACTGGTGAATTTGATGAATGTTTGATGAATGCTGGATGAATGTTTGAACGATTTTGAACGGATCCTCTATGATCCTCTCCAGCGCAAGTTTTCAAGGGCGATTCTTTTTGTAGACGTGACCACGCCTATTCGTCCTCACCAAGCTTGGTCACTTCGTGGCCAGGGCCTAAGCAGGCCCATTTGCCTCACAGAATTTTTGATTGCAGCGGCCGAGTCGACCTAGGCAAGTTCAACAAGAACTGCTCAAATAAACTACGGCTAAAATGAATCTCAAGAATTTGGAGGACCGAGAAAACATCTGGATCCATCTGACCATGACCAGGCGGGTGACTTTGACAAACTAAAGTCATCAAACTCGTTTGATCCCCACAGCATTGCTTCCCCAGCCTTTCGGCCCATCGTAGTAGTACCAAGGTCGGCCCTCATCTTCCTTGGACTGTTGGGGGCACCAGCTCTGAAGTTTGGGAAATCTGAACGTTCTCCATCATTCCGCTACGTCCCTTTCTGATCCTTGCTGCACACTAGAACAGAATAGCGTTGGAAAATTGGGTGTTTGAAATTAGAAGTCTTCATTCAAACAGATGTTGCTTACCAAAAAAACAATGCACATCCAATTTGTTTCAGGATGGCATGGTTTCGTGCAGCGAATCAAGGTTTGTCCAGCTATTTGGAGACCCCGGTTGCATGTATATTTATATAATTCAAACCATTGAAGTACCGCATATTTTCTTGTAGCCAACTGATAGTCCACGCTTCCAAAAAGGAACACAAACGCTTGCTTTAGACCCATCGTTCACCCAACGGAATCCCAAATTGACCAACACTTCGGCAACATGATGACACCTCGCGTTTCTTGTGAGTTTCCTTCAAATCTCTTGCAGACTTGCGAATTGACTTACCTGTCAGAGTACAAAAAAATCATAAAAAATCCCCCATTATCTCGGATTTATCCAAAAATCAGCTGCTTCAAAATTCATCAGTGTTCTATAATTATGCTTCCTCAATTTAATGTTGCGTTGTTTGAAACGTGGGGATATTATCAAATGGCCATTTTCATTGGATTTCACGGTGTGTTAAAAAAAAATTGAAGTGTGGGAATTTGATGGATATCGCCCAATTTCAAAACGACTTGCTGCAAAGAATCGAACTCTTGCCAATGTTCTCCCGGCGGAGGATCAGGTGCTTCATCCTCCTCGAAGCCTGCTAGCAGTCCGTCCGGAGTGGATCATTTGAATCATAGACTAAGAGATTGCGATGGCAGTATATACACTGCCAATATATGTGTAGAAAATGATGGTGAATGAATACTATATGGTGTGGCAACTTGATCCCCCAAAAAAACAATATATATATATACACAGGGGAAAAGGCGGCAGGCAAAGGGATCCATACTTGAGAGATTTTCCAACTTGAATCCTGCAACCTCGTTAAAAGCAGATTGCGTACTACATCCGTCATAGCGTCAGCAACTCTGGAAGCATGTGGCATGCGCCACACTAACCTGTTGGGTTCCTCTAAATCTACTAAAGTAAACCATGTGTCAAATATCGGATGTTGAAACTCAGATACTTTACAAAAAGAAACCAAATGGAATCACATGGAGTGGAATCCCCCTGTCCAACTGCCTCACAGTGCCCCACTCCGCATCACTCCGCTGCCTTCGCTGAGATCGTCATCCTGTTCGCGTGGAGGCTCACCCAGGCGTGGAGGATCAACCTCCATTCCCTGCGAGAGCGGTGATGACCCTGCAGGCAGCATCCTATGGTGATGGAGATGGTTGTTTGAATTCTATTGGTGGTAGACATGTAGCCAGGGCCATCTCTAGAAGGACAACGGACATTGACATTCTATCAATTGACGATTCAGGTCTGAGAAATGGGTCTGAGAAATCGGGGTTGCGCCTGACTGCTTTGTCTCAAAAGATCATCAAGAACCAGGATCATCTGACTGCTTTGTCTCAAAAGTCCGGGAAGCATCGGGAACCCATTCTGGATCCATCCCTCCCGCCTGGTCAGCACCAGCTTCCTTCTTGGGCGGCAAGCGCATGGGAGGCGCCTTGACTGGTGGCGCCTTGACCGGCGGCGCCTTGACGAAGGGCGACCTCGCCTCCTGAAACACGCAGAGCGAAAGAGTACTGAAGTATGATACAGTATGGTGAAGTATGCCCACAACATTTTTTACCAAGAAGTATCACACGAGGAATCACAACCAAATCACAACATATCGCGACACATCGAGCCTTCGGGGGTTGGCGCAGTTGGCGCATTGGCATTGGTGGCTTCCTCACGCCTGGGAGTCGGAGAGTCAGATCAGTGCCAGGGAGTTGTGGAAAAATTGACTCCCCTAGATATACCATTACAGATATTACAGTACAACTATGATACATACCATTTACATACCAGGAAATCATATGATGATATATGATGTATACACAGTAATTACACCTAGACCTAGACCACATTTAAACATGGAATCATATTGCCATATGGAACCTGAAAAAGAGGATGTTGATTTCCATTTTAGATTTGGGATGTGGAACTAACCCATCATATAGCTACAAATCAGTACATAGCGTTACATACCACTTTCATATAATATATAGACACATTGGTAGATACCATTGTATGCCATTATGCTATATACCAACATAATTATATAATCGTGGGCCTGGGGGGATTTTAATATCCCCTTGTATCTTTTACCAATCACGTGTGCCCTCACGTAATCAAACATTGCAATGGACGTTTAGCCCATTTATACGCGAAGTTCCCATTGAAACATCAATTTGTAGGTGATTTTTGATTGCCATGTTTGATTACAGAAAGGTAATTCATTGTAGATCATAATGCATTACAATGATATAATGCAGTCTTATCATTCCTTATAGTTTAAATTCACTATGAATATGACTCACTGCTATGAAATTCATTCCTGTATTCATTATAACTCATCATTAATTTTGATAAAACCCAAAAAAAATAACTCTGTATAATTATATGGTGTATTCATTGAATATTAATTATTATTACTATTGTAGGATTATTGTTATTATTATTGTTATCATTATTACTGTTATCTACTGTTATCTACTGTTATCTACTGTTAGTATCATTGGCTCATCGTAAATCCAGATGTTTGTTGGTCTCCTGGGCTTCCCCCCTGGGCTCCACCAACGTGGAGCGGAGCCCATCGGTGAGCCCCGGGGTGAGCCCCGGGGTGAGCCCCGTGGCGAGCCTGGTCAACCAGTGATTTCGAATGCTTTGGAGTTGAAAAAATCATGGGAGTTATTGGGAGTGAATTGTCAGATTAGTTCTCAGTGCCATGGTTACATTATGTTACATTCATCGACTAGGCAATGGACATCCCATGACATCCCCATGAAGCCTACCTATCCTATCCTATCTATTGTGAAGTTTGTGCACCTGTCGCGATGAGAATGACCAAATGCTACCGTCGTGAGCTGGCGCATTTTTGGAAAGTTAGACTAGACCCGTCATCCGCATTCATGCGCTGGGTTTTCATCCAAATTTCCCACGTTTGTGTTTGTGTTTGTGTATCGAATTTGAGAACTCGAACATATCGAATTAAACTCCCAAATCTTCCCCATAAAATTCCAATAAAATTCCGATAAAGCAGGTCCACTTTAACGAAATCAGCCCCTTTCGAAGTCTCCCATGTGGCCCAACAGCTTCCCAAGCAGTCCGCCTCCTCGGTCAGCATTCACCGGCGGCCTGGACGTGTTTCGCATTGAGGAATGACACTGGTTAGACCCCAAGAAATCCCAAGAAGTAGGCAATTCGGGATTGGATCTTCATGTGTGTTGGCAATTTGGTGTTTTTTTTGGTTATAATTATGTTATATGTCGATTCCGGTCCATACCTTGGCATTCATTCTGGAATTGGCGGGGTGGCGTCGCCTCAATTCCACATTCTCTGGATTTCACATCGCCAGGAGTGTATGAGAACAAGTCAGTGAATGTTATGCGGATGCATCTATCGACTCTATCGACCATTGCTTGTCACATGGAGAACACACAGAAACAAACAGGTTTTCGGAGATGAACATTGGACGGCAATATACGGCAATCATGAACCACTTAGATTGGCCTCCTTCGGTGCGCCATAGCTGGTGTGTGACCCATCTGCTCCATCTTGCGATGCACACCTGGGTAACATCCATGGCTGACTGAACCTAATCTTCGCCCAATCTTGGGAGATGTCACTGAAAACGGCTAGGCCGCTAGGCAGAATGAAACTGGAAGTCTTTGAGTTACCGCTTGAATCCGTTGTGACCAGACATCATGCGGTCGACAAACAAAAACAAAATGATACTAGATGATACTAGATGTATTAGAACAAGTTGGTGCTATGATTGAGTATGACAGCCAGCACCTTGGATGAAGCTGCCCCCAGTTTCAAACTATATCATTGTACTAGAGCCTCAGTGAACCTTGCTAAACTGGTTTGCTCCCAAACAAAGTAGGATGCGAAAAATGCCAAAAACCTATCCCACCTCAACTCAACCTCACTTTTGCCAAATTTATTCCGCATCTCCCATCTAGGGTCACGTACGAGAAGCCTTGTCGGCAAAGGGCTCGCGGGAGCCTCGGGTGGTCAGGTCATGGGGAAAACTTGGGTAGAACTAATCATCTCCGTAGCGTAGGAAGATGGAAGATGATGGAAGATGATGGAAATTCATCTTCCACAGCCGTACTTCCCAAAATCTGCAGTCCCGCTGAACATCATCTTGAAGTATTATGGTTGGAATACAATATTCCGAAATATTAACGATCAGCCCTGCCAAAAAGTATTCCGCGACGAGTGCAAGAGTTTGAGACTAGAAAAGGGTACAACAAAGCTCCCACAAAAGATGCAAAAGGGTCGTGGTCCTGGGATCCCTGGCTGCTGGCAGCAGATCGGTCTCCGTGTCGCTCTGGGGCCGCGAGGTCATCTAAGGGCCTAACAACGATCTTCGCGGGTTCACTGCAGCCATGGACGAATGAAATGTTTTAAGCATGTTCAATCAAATTAAAATAATTTAAACATGTTTAAACATGTTCGCCGACAAATGATCACAACAAGCTGTGAAGATACTCGACTTTTGTCTGCAAACAACACGACCGCGGTATCAGCCGAAATGGCTTGAGTTCAGAGGAATGATGATGTGCTTGCATCTGATTTCCCTGGAGTGCGCACATTTCCCATGTTGACTCATTTCTCCAGACATGACACAAACGAACCCTACCAGTACTTGTAGATCAGAATGAGGTTTCTGAGAATGTTGCCCACATCCCCTTCTAACATTCCAATTCGGAGATTTCCCTTGACTAGTCTTCATCAATAATTCGGTACAAAGGTCTTGTGTCGCGTAGATCCACGAGTCACACCCAACTTATCCCAACTTTGCACTGCACTCATTTCGTGAAACATGCTGCTGAGAAGCATGTCGAGCTTCTCGTCGAGAGTTCGTGGCTCCCGCAGAGGAGGCAGGGAGTCTTCTCGATCTGCGGCACAGAGTCATCACCGAAGATCCACATGGATGCTATCAGTTCGCTTTACATCGCTTTACTATCATGTTATTCCCCTAAATTCCCAAACTATGATAAACCATGATAAACCCTCTGGCAATTTGTGGATCATCAGACTGGCAGTCTGTCTTTCCATCTATGGCAGCGCTCTGGATTGTCCATACAAATCAGGTCAAGCAGCCCAGCACAGAGTGTACCACCGGTTTGAGACACCGTGCGTCATTGCTTAGAAAGGTGTCATCAGTCTTCAACTCAAACATCAACAGACTCAAGTCGATCTTTCACACTGTCATACACTGTCCCATGATTCCATTTCCGATCGAAAGATATTCAAAGATTTCAAAGGACATTGTTTCTGAGGTGACAATCCATGGCTCAGCGACTCAGCGCACGCCTGACTCCTCGACTTTGACGGACCCAATTCGACGACCAGAGCGATGCCACCGGTCGTCGCCACGGTCGCCGCGGTCGCCACGGTGGCCGCGGTCGCCGCGGTCGCCGCGGTCGCCACGGTCGCCACGGTCGCCACGGTCGCCGCGGTCGCCACGGTCGCCGCGGCCACCCCCTGCCGGCTCCAGGTCGAATGGTCTGTGTGTGTGCCATGGTCTTACGTCAAAAATCGTCAAAACATAGGATGAATCGGATGAATGTGGTATGTGATATGGTCATCCATTCCACAATGGGAAATCCCAATGGATTGATAAATTGATCCACCAATTTTTTAGGGGCAATTTACCCTTAAGTTTTTCACCATGGTTCACATGTAAAGTCACACGTCAAAGTTTTTTGATGTTTTTTGTGGTGCCTCAGTATCATGATGAGCTGATTGGGACTGTTGATCGCATGCAAGTTGGAGTTTGATTCTTAATTACTTCCTCAGATCATTGCCACTGGATGCCACTGGGTATCGTCTAACCAGAAACAGGTGGACACTACGTATTTGCATTTCATCCAGGAGGAACCTGCTTCCATTCTCCTGTGATCTGTGATCCCTGGTTGCCAAAATTAAATGTATGTCTCCGCCATTTCTACGGAGGCCAAAGTGACAGAAACCGGTGTTTCGCAAAACTTGGGGACTCGAAAAAAAAAAAAGCATGGAATGAAATGTTGTTTATTGGTATTATGACTGTAATTATATTATGTAATTAAATTATATAAATTCTTTCCCTACAAATATCAAACATAAATCAAGTATCAACTGCTTGGAATTGTGACCTGTTGAATTCCCGCATCTTCCAACAGCATCACTGAGGCTTCACCCACCTCTACGGGGCTTCACTTTGATCATGGTATCTGCAGCGACGGGGAAGCAGGTTGGTTTCAAAATGATCCAAACCATCGAACCTTTTTTGGGGACCAAGGTGACTTTTAAAAAAAATCAGAAACTTAAGTTTCTGGGCAAGACTCTTCCATTTCGGTCTATATCTGAAAAAGAACGACTATCCCTTGCTTCAAAAAACTCAGAACATGCCGCCATGCTTGCATCTTTCTTATCAGATTTATGAGGCTAAACTCACAAAATCACTTGAAGTGCCTTGAAGTATGCTCCATTCCATATCATATATATATAGTATGGTCCATCTGGGGAAATGACCCACTGTGACGCTGCAACCTCGACTGGTCTGCGTGATCTCGAAGCGCAGGGAGTGCCCATCCTCGTGGAACATGTGAAGCCTCGCCTGGAACTGGTCCCACGAGGCTCGGTGGGTGAATATGGTGCCCCTTTTGCAACCCATTCAAGGAATTCCAGGGAATCCCTGTGAAAGATTCACACCATGACAACTATAGATCATAGAATTCAGATAGCTGACAGTATCAGTTTCGAGGGTGATGGGGCAAATGTCACAATGTCGGTGAGTTTTTGAAGGCAGAGAGAGAGAGAGAACAATCTCCTACGGGGTACTACACCAACTCATTCAAACGCAGAAGTCGGATTCTGGACAGGAACCATTCCCATTTTGAGCAAAGAACGTTCACACTTTATGCACATCAGAACCTGGCAATACATACTTCCACTGTATTGAACCTCAAGAACAACCGGGACCAATCTGCTGCAATGTCAGTCCAAAAAAAACAGTTCCAAGTCAGAATTGGACTTGTTGAAATATGTTGACATATGTTACAATCATAGTTGAAATGGTTCATGTATCAAGATCATAGTCATAGACATTATAGTAAGCGTTATAGCCTGTCTTTGATGACATGTTGTTCTTCTTTTAGCTGTGCTCCAGTGGGAAAGAGCACCGCTGTCGCTGTCGCCGAGGTACGGCATCAAGGACTTCCTTCTTGGAGTATCCTGGATGGCAAACTGGCGAAATGTCCAGTTCGATATCAACAAAAATCGATGTTTGATGCTTTCTTTCATTGTCTTGAAAAAATGTATATTGCAACGAAGTTACGCACTTAGCAATAACGTTTCTACATGTTTCTACAGTACACATCCAAATGCAGATCCTAATAGGTTTGGATGCGCTTGCGATGTGCGGCTTGGGACATATGCAGACTTGGGTTTCAACTTCAACGTCCATAGCATGTAGATCATAGCATTTGTGATGCCATCACAAGGAAATGAGAAACCAAAGTTGAAGAATCAAAACTAAATTTAGTTAGGGTCAAAACAGCAACGACATATGTTTTGTTGGAAATGGAGGGCTCTCTGAATCAAAAATGTTTGTGAGAGAAATCACAATATATAATCTATAATATGTAGAAAAGTAGAAAATATATAATATATAATCTATAATACATAATCTATAATCACAATCTATAGAAATCACATCAGAAGAGTTGAAAATATATAATATGTCAAAAATCAACTTTTCTCTTTCGCACTCTTCTGTCGTTCTCTTGCTTCAACATCCACCGAGCTGTCTCGCCTGAACGACACTGATTTCAACACCGTCTGAGGTGCTCGAAATGTGAAGTCACGGAAAAACGAACCGAATGAACCAGCTGATGATGCTATAATATATATATATAGTATAATATATATATAGTATAATATATATATATAGTATAATATATATATATAGTATAATATATATATATAGTATAATATATATATATATATAGTATAATATATATATATAGTATTATATGTGTAGTATAATATATATATATATATATATAGTATGATATATATATATATAGTATGATATATATAGTATAATATATATATAGTATAATATATATAGTATAATATATATATATATATAGTGTTCTATATAGTATACTATATATATAGTATAATATATATATATAGTATAATATATATATACAATTATATACATAGTGATTGATTGAGGTTTACCATGATTACCAGATTAATTACCATGGTTTAACCATCCCCGCTTGCAATTCCTGCACATGACACATATGACACGCAGGTCACAGTGCCTTCGTACGCAGCCCAGCTTTCCATGAGGTTTTCAAGCCTTGGGAGATTCAGTGCGGCAATGACCCAGATCCCGAAGTTGGCTGAGGAAAGGAAACAAAAAACTTGACGGTCAGTTTTTCAAAACGATCATTGCAAATGAAAAGCTCCTGAAAAATATTTAAGATCTTTAATCAATTCGGTTTGTTGTTGGACTTCAACACCTGAGACTGCATACCGACTCTTGCAGTAGGATACAGCTAAGCAACAGGAACCCTCCTTCAGAACTCACCATGAGCCCTTCCGGCCGATGATCTCGATACCGGCCGAATCCTCAGCTTGCGGAACTTCGGTTCAACGAACTTCCAACGTGAAGTCTGTGTATTAAACTGGATATGACTGGATTAGAATGTTTTTTCAATGATACATCGCACCAGAATCGGAACAACAACTTCAGCTGATATCCATATCATTATAATTTATGAATTGGAGACAAGTCCTCTTCTAGAGTGTGAAAAAAAAAATGGGTCTCCCACTGGGTCTCCCCACTTACCAAGGCCTTTGAGATTCTCTCTGCAACGTCGCTCCGCGGTGGGGTTCGCGATCGTCGTCTTGGGCTGCGCCTGCGGAAAGTTCACAGGGCTGCGGGCTGTGGATTCAAACCTTGGGACCCTGACGAACATCAAAATAGCGGGAAAGGGATCGCAAATAGATGCAAATAGATGTATAATATAAATACATATATATATATATGTATTTTAATTATGTTATTAAAACTAATAATAGCCACATACTGTAATCAGAGCGTTTTTTTGGCACGAGACATTGCCTGGCCAAGTGCACCCACCCCATTCTTCTCCATAATCCCGAGCTTGCACCGGGCTTTGGCCTTCGGGCATGCCGCGAAAAACGGTAATCCATGGCTCTCCGGAATTAAAATTGAACACAAAGAGCCACAGTTTGGCCCAAACATGTTGACGTTTTTTCTCACTAGATTCGGCTTTTGTAGTTGTTTGGTCATTTCACTGACCACAGATCCCACGTCTGGCTCTGCAACTGAAGATCTTTCATGAAGAATTCCCACATCATGTCTGGATCACTTGATGTTGGGCACCAGGTGCACTTTTAAAAAGAAACTGCTATGAAGACAGTATAGGCCAGGAAGGTATGATGCTTGTTTCTCGGCTCCAATGTTCCAGGATGCCAGTTCCAGGCATCCTACCGTCGTGGGCTCTGAATGTCTTTGTCTGGATGCAGCAAACTCACCATGTGAAAGGCAGCTATGTCAGCCAAATCTGGCACAATTTTTCACCAGCATCCCATAGAAGGACTTGTAAAGAGAATGATTCGAATTGCACTCACCAATTGTTCTTTCTTCCAGTATGTGTAGGGCCTACCATTGACGGCCCTCAATTTGAGCAACAATTGCAGCAAACTTGTTCTGCCCTTCATGATTGTCACTGCAGCATCCGTCATGATGATTGGGTCGACACAATCCCCCAACTTAAAATGACCAAAGTCACAGCTTACCTGCATTTACCTGCTGTCAAGGCTAAGGATTCAAGCGATGATTCCCTGTTCCCGCTCCATGGGTGCTGAAAGCGAAAGCCCAGCAGCGGCTGTGGAACCACACCTTGGTCAATGGCGCTGTGAAATAGGGCGAAACATCAGTCGACGGTCAATACATGTCAATACTATCACTAAAATAAGGGACAAGGTGCCCACAAACATGACACGAAAGGGCTGCTGCTTCCGCTTGAAGCATGATGGCATGAGAATTACTGTAGGGAAACCCAGCATATTTGGGAACATCAACATGGACCAGTCCCTGTCCAAGGAAAAGCCGCAGAAACTGTTCTTCTGAGAGGTGCAGCACATAATGTTATAAATTATGTAGTATATATATATATATAGTTATATATATAGTTATATATATAGTTATATATATAGTTATATATATAGTTATATATATATATGTGTATGTGTGCAATACAATTATATACACAATACCACTCACTCCACCTCTGAGCTCTGTATTCTTAAACTACACATATACAAATCATATACATCAGCCGTTTACGATACTTTACGCATATATTTGGCAAACGGCTGATGTAAATCTCTTCGCCTATGGCGTGGCTGCCAGGTTGCTCCGATGCCATGGGATCGTCATGACTGCAATGCTTGACCTGACAAGTTCATCAGTCGCATACAAAACCAAGGGAAGTGACATTATAACTAAGACTATAACTTATAACACATGAGGTTGTGCTTACATTTCCTGCACTTACATGTACTTACAATAACTTAGAGTCTTAGAATACGAAGACAGAGCTGCTATACTGAAGACCCTTCCAGGCCTCTCTCTCCACCAACTCAGGTGCTTTGGGTGTCTGCGCGGTGAGGTTTGTGCGTGTGGGGCCCCAAACAAATCGGGCAGAACTGGAGGGATCAACATCATTAAAGACTGCTTCAACCTTAAAGGCTGCCTGGTGATTCTTCTAGTTTGAAAATATTTGAACACATACCTCACAAGCTCATGTCATGGTACCAAACGGAACCCCAATAAGCGCCTCGATCGCTGGCAACCTGGTTTGGATGCTTCTAGCCGTCCCGGATAGAAATCGGGATTTTACATGATTTTACTATGTGGAACCTACATGAACCTACAATTTCGAAGGTGCTGTATGTTTAAGATCATTGGGGAACACTCACTACAGGGGCCATCTTAATGGCCGACCGGGTCAAGTCCTCAGATTTCTGCATGAACTCTGCAGGCCTACAAAACCACTGAGCGTGGCGTCTATGGTTATCATGAAAATCATGTATCCTTGATACCCTCTGGTAAATTAACATAGCTATGGAAAATCACCATTGTTTATGGATGTTTATGGGAAAATCCACTATAAATGGTCATTTTCAATAGCTATGTTGAATTACCAGAGGGTAGCTCTAAGCCAGATGCCGAAAATTCAGCGGAACACAGTTTCAACACCCACGGCACAACCCCCTGATATTCACAACCCGCGCTACCTCTGGACATTGGGCAACAGCTTCTGGCCAGGTATGGCTAGCTGGGCAATGGCACTTTAGAAATGGGAGGTATTATGAGGTATTGGATGAATGAAACTGTTTGGATGTCCCCAAATCAATCCATAAAATGTCTATCGTATCTCAGAAGTTTTTCACGAAGGAGTGTCAAGTGCCAGCAGTTTCAAGGCCCTGAAAGTTTCTGGATGCATTCTAGATATTCAACCCTTCAAGCTGCCGCAAGCTGCCAACATTAGATTGATAAGCTTGCTAAAATACTTTTGAATAACTTTAGAATATCAACATATGACAACATATGATCAGCTACCTTGCATACGAATTCGGTGTACTTGCAGACAAAAATGTAAGGACAAACATGGACAAACAAATGCACATCGCCATCAACGGCCCAGGCCCATGACGTTTTCATCGTTTTCGAGCAGCGGTTTCCCTTTTGCCGCCCGGCTCCTCCCGTTCCTTTCGTTGCTGCGCAGCAATGCGAGGGTTCCACTTCCGTCGGTACCTGCGGGCTGTCTTCCCCCTGTTGCTGTAAGCCAGATCTGTTGGACTCAAACGAAAAAGCAGATTCTTTGTCCAAATGTCAACCAAGGGTCTCATTCTTCGACTTGAACTCCAGCCCTGCAAGTGCGTGATTGCAGTTGACACTCAACAACCCTCAACCCCCTGGAATCCTAAGCAAACTCTGAGTCTGAAGGTGCCTCTGTGGAAGTGTTCAGATTAAATATGGTTCATGATTGAATCAACATGAATCAACTAAAACAAAATATCACAAAATCAACTAAATCAAAGGACTGCAAATCATCCACATTAGTCCATATTAATCCTAATACCCTCTGGTAATTTAACATAGCCATGGAAAATGGCCCATTTATAGATGGTTCACCTATTAAAAATGGTGATTTTCCATGGCTATGTTAAATAACCAGATGGTATATTAATCTACCATCTCCGAGGATCTCCCATCGGTACTTTTGTGCAATCCGCACCTGGTGGAGCTACTGGAGTAGCGGGACCTGTCAGCGGCCCACCGGATCACATGATCTCACCAGGCAAAAAAAGACTTACCAAGTACAGTACAGCTTGTGATGAATTTTAAGGATTAACCATGATTAACCCATATTAACCCATATTCATACATATTAATATCAGGTCTGTTTAATCATCATTTTTCTTTAATCATTGTACATCCAAGTACATGATGATGAAAAATTGATGTAGCAGGAGGATCTGGATGGCCGCCATCACCCGCCTGGTGGGGCCTTGGTGGAGATGCAGGTTATGAGTTGCAGTGATGGCAAGGGCGACATGATGCGACATCATGCGACGAGGCCAAAACAAAAGTCACTTTATGTCACTTTCTTACGTTGGGATACTTTGGGTTGCAGCATGACCAAGAACCATGTGAAAACATGGATGGATCTTTTCCAAATGATCCACCCCGTATTACTGAATTTACTGAGCACATCTACCCCGTATTACTGAGCACATCTTGCTGAAGCTCAGTGGTTTCATGCCAGGGATGCACAGCCCAAGTAGCGGTCCTTCAACCACTTAGTCAAGTGCCTTTCCAATGCATGCTACGGGCCAAAATGTCCGATACATTCCGATACCCTTTCATCTTTGCCGGTGTTCAATTCAATTTTGGACCACAAAGATATATCATTTGAATGGATTTGATCTGTATCCCTGAATACATTGGGACACTGCCTGTGAACGAAGGCTTTGGGCTCCCTGCAACCGATGGCTCATCATCACCCTGCCGGCCAAAACTTGCACTTCATGGTCTTGATTGGACTCCTCTTTCTCTGCGAAACTTAGTGTCTCATCGACTCATCATCATGGTATCGGTATCATCTTCATGTTGTTGGTGTGGCATTGGTGGTTGTGGCAATGCAGCTGCCTGTGGCACCGGCAGAAGTGCGTTCATCGGAGCCTCAAATTGCAATTGGTTCTCAGGGCAGGGCCAGTTCAGAATGATCTTTTGTGGTGACGGCACTTTTGAAGATTTGCGTTGAAATTTCAGGGTGTCAGTCACGCCCATGCAGCAAGACCATGGTGATCATGAATATCATGGAGGATGTGATGGTGATCGTGACCATTCATCATTCATTGTGATGGTGATGACGATGCTTCATGTTCTGTTTCATGAATTTTGATGGCCTTCAGAGAGGTCAAAATATACTACCTGCAGATGTTGAAGCACATTGCCATCCGTTTGAAATTGGGTATGTCAGAAGGAAATGTCTAAAGATGACTCTTGTAGAAATCACCAAGCAGCAAACAATTCAATGCAAACATCACAGCATTCAACACTCAGACAGTTGCTGGTGCTTTGACTACTGCCCGATGTCGCGCTGGACTGAGGAAGGCCTCCCAAATCAGGTGAGCTAACATCTGCGGTCGTATAGCCACTGCCCGTTGGTTCTGTGCATGTCAAAACATGTTTCGAAGGATGTTTGTAACTGCCTTCGGCACACGAGGACACACCAACAAAAACTATCAGAACTATCAAGAGCACAGAAGTGTGATGGAAAGAAAACGCATGAAACACTTGGCATCACTTGGCATCTGCATGGATTCACCCAAGTACATCTCGAGACCAACGCACGGAGGCCTTGGGTGCTGGACGAGCCTCATGGCCCTGCGTGGAGATGGTGAAGTGGGTGACTGTGTATACACATTACATGCCTCCCTGCTACCAACACCATAAGAATCCAAAAAGAATCCATAAGATTACACACACACACACGAATTGTGAATATCATTTTCGTTGCGACCAGAAAAAACATCGTATATCAGAGAAAGGTCTACAGGGGTACATTGTCTTGCAAACAAACTCGAGTCCGGAGAAATCTTCTATCTGTGGAATACTGGGAGCGTAGAGTCTAGTTGCACGCACAAGTGCAAGTGA